AATGAAAGCACACAAAACTGAGAAAATATTTAACAATTTAAACCAACTTACTTTAGCATCTGCTGATTGGATAAACTAAGGCATAGCTACCCTTTCCAAGAGCAACTCAATTCCAAGCTTAAGAAATGATTACCGGTAACTTTCAGGGAACCAGCAAACCAACATTTGGTACAGGTAGATTCCTATATTAGTACCATCTGCCTTTCTCTGCTCTTTAATTAAGGAGAGGAAATGGATAGATGGATTGCCTTGCAGTTTGTGTTCAAGAATGGCAGTAGCCACATCACAGCCAATGTATGTCTGAAAGGTTGAGTAGACTTTGGCAAAATGCTTTGTATGGGAAGTAGCAATATGCTTTGAAGGCAACAGCTGTTGAGGATAACAGACATATTGGCTTGGATCCAGATTTTGCTTCTGCCATTGGGAGTATCTACCTAGTGGAGTTTCCATTAATAGGATGTGGTGGAGACAGACAACCTTTGCTAATCCCCGTTACTCCTTCTAAAAATCTACTTTGGAAGATTGAGGGACCCTCCAAAACAGTCTGGGAGGGAGAGACGTTTGTGGAAAGGAGTGGGGAAATGTGCAAAAGTTGCTCCTGCCTGCCAGTGCGATCCCTGTACTGGATCAAAAGCATTCCATGGTTGAAAGGAGCATAGCTGTCAACCTTCCCTTTTTTTGCAGGAAATTCCCTTATTCCAGCGCCGTTTCCCGCTGCTATCCCGGATTGTTAGATATCCTGTAAATTTCCCGGATTTCAAAGGAAGCAGCTCCTCTCCCTCCCTGCCGGCCAGGGAGGCTCCTTAGCTGCGTTGCTCGACTGTGTTGCTCACCAATAAGGAGTCTGAGAACGACTGGGGGGTGGAGCTTGCATGCCTTGTGCCAATAAAATCGGCTGCGTTGCCTGGGGACTTGCCTTTGCTTCAGCGCTTCCCAGTGTTGTGGTTTCCTTGCTGCTGTATCCCTTTGCTGGGTCGCTGCACTGTGGGAACCACCGCTTGAGGCTTCATTTGGCTGCTGGCTGGGCTTTCTGCCTTTGGCTTGGATGGGCTCGGAACGTACCTGTAATCGAAATCGGATGGATACATTGACGGCCCACTCACCCTTGCCAGGGATAAGGTCTGTCTGGAGCGGGGGCACATGAGGAAAAGAGAAGGAGTGGCTGGTTGAGTACAATGGCGGGCAGCAATCTCATGGGGGGGGGCTTTTGGATTTGTTTTGGAGGCTCCTTCGATTGACTGCTGTGGGGGAAAGGAAAGGAGCTGGTTGACTAAAATGGCGGGTGGCAATCTCATGGCAAGGGGGGAGGCTGTCACCGCCGTGTGTGTGTGGCTAGTTAATGCAAGCTGAGGGGTTTTTTGAACGCTGGACACTGTTTTGTTGCACGTGCTGCTGCAAAGCCAGGCCAGGGAGCCATCTTAAGTTTGAGGCTGCATAGGCCTTGTGATGCATGTGATTCAGATTCTATTCAGTTGAATCTCTGGTTACAAAGTTGACATTTTTTCAGCAGTGCCCCCCCCCCCCAGTGAGTCATCTTTTGTTCACTTTTTTTTATTTTGAGGCAGTGCACACCTATGTCTGTGGAACTGCAAACCTTTCCAGTCATGTGTTACTCCAGTCAAATCCCACGTATGAATGTGGAGGAGGTAGAATTGCTACAGGAGAGCAATCTCTTTGCAGATTGCATGTGTGGCTACTCTGATGTGTTTCTTTTCTTCTTTTTCAAACAAAGAAAGATGGATGGAGGTGGAGAAGAAGACATTCCTTCGAAAAAAGCAAAGAGGCTGTGCAAGTATCGTGAGAAATGGGAAAAGGAATTTAGCTTCTTGAAGAAGAGCAGAGTGGGGCATGGTCATGCATTCTGCACAATTTGCAGTTGCAATTTTAGTGTCTCCCATGGGGGAAGGACCGATGTCACTCAGCATAAAAAATCGGCCAAGCACAAGCGCGGGCTAGAGGCACAGAAACATGCCCCAACGATGTCCGCATTTGTGACTAGGAATACCACAGAGGCTGACCAGGTGAGAAATGCAGAGGTTTAAAATGGCCATGCTGTGTGCCAAACACAACATTTCTTTCACCTTCTGCGACGACTTCAAGAAGTGTGTAGCTGACATGTTCCCGGACTCTGCCATTGCACGAAAATATTCTGCGGGGAAAACCAAAACTACGCAAATCATTAAAGGTAAGTTGATTCAAATTACGAAAACAATGGTAGCTCGGGTTAAGAACTGAGGTACCACTGTAATATTGTCAGCTTAGGAGTCCTAAGAGGGCAAAGTCTGGATCTTGGGTGCACCTTACAGTAGTTTTAACTATAAAAAGACTTGTTCTCCACTTCATACTGCTGCCTTAGGCTGTAGCATCACATGCAAATTCAAGATCTCAAGTGTGAGTGATAAATTTGTGGAGTAAGTTTAGTCATCTGTTCTGTTATCAGGCAACAGTTGATTCAAGGTACAGTGGTACCTCAGGTTACATACGCTTCAGGTTACAGACTCCACTAACCCAGAAATAGTGCTTCAGGTTAAGAACTTTGCTTCAGGATGAGAACAGAAATCGGGCTCTGCAGCGTGGCGGCAGCAGGAGGCCCCATTAGCTAAAGTGGTGCTTCAGCTTAAGAACAGTTTCAGGTTAAGTACGGACCTCTGGAACGAATTAAGTACTTAGCCTGAGGTACCACGGTACACCTAAAAAGTTATCCCTGTTAACCTCAATAGCCTCAAATCACTACAGATTGGGACAGAGCTAGTACTAGTTTCTAACTTTTGTGTGCTTGCATGCAGCTATGGAAATTTGGAACAACAAATACAGGGTCAAGGTTGTAAACAGTCCATAAGCTCCTTGCATCTGTGCTGATTGTGACCTAAAATATTTCTAAAACACCCAACCATGATTATGCATTTGGTATAAAGTACCATTTCCATGGGCAAGAATCCCCCCCCCCCCGTGCTTCACATATTCAAGGATCTGTGAAAATTATTTTTCAATGATAAAATTTTCTTTTGCAGGGGACGACTAGCATGATGACTTGTTGCGTAACCTCCAGGTTCCGGAATCTTTGGGTTACGGCTGCAGCAAACCCAGAAGCAGTCCTCCAGTTATGGAATTTTCGGGATACGGCCGGGCCTCTGGAACGGATCCCGTTTGTATATATTTGAGATAAAAGACAACTTTTGTACAAGCCAAACAATTAGTTACATAGTTGACATTTTTAAAATAGTATTTTCAGCTTGTTATCTTTAAATGTCTTATTATTCTGTTAGTTTAGGTCTGTCAAGATGCCCTGTTGACCCCTAAAGTATGGATAATGGTAAGTGTTACTCTTTAAAATTTTAACTAAGTGCTTTAGTAAACTAGTTTTAATAGACACATAGTTTGAGTTTAAATTTACTTGTACAATATTCCTTTTCAGTAAACCTTGTTGGGAGGTTGATGACACTTCATACAACCTCAGATTGTTATGTATATGACTTTTCTTGTTCCCTGCTTTTGAAAAAAAAAACTGGAGGGTTCATTCTGCAAGCAATTACAAAGCCATGGAAATAGTTTAATTTAGGAAATCGTGTTTTCCATTGTACAGTATAGATATTAAAAATTGCATTGCTGGCACAGTGATGATTTCCTTTTGCCGTTTACCCATCTGAATTTATACTGATGTGTATTTCCTAATTCTGAGATGCCAGTAAAGCTTTAAATGGCCCAAGTAACATACAGTGGTACCCCGCAAGACGAACGCCTCGCGAGACGAAAAACTCGCAAAACGAAAGGTTTTTTCGTTTTCGAGTTGCCTCGCAAGACGAATTTCCCTATGGGCTTGCTTCGCAAAACGAAGCTTGCCCAGGGGACAGCGGGTCTTCTCTTTTGAAGCAAGGGGCGGCGGGGAGAAGCGATCTTCTCCCCGCAGCCCCAGGTCCGGGGACAGCGGGAAGCGCTTCCCGCTGCCCCCGGACCTCTTTTGAAGCAAGGGGCTGCGGGGAGATCGCTTCTCCCCACTGCCCCTTGCTTCAAAGAGGTCCGGGGACAGCGGGAAGCGCTTCGCGCTGCCCCCGGACCTCTTTTGAAGCAAGGGGCTGCGGGGAGATCGCTTCTCCCGGTGCCCCGAAGCCGGGCGGGGGGGAGGGAACACCTGCCCCAGCCGCCCCGCTTCGGAACGCTGCCCCGAAGCGGGGCGGGGGGGCGGGAACACCTGCCCCAGCCGCCCCGCTTCGGAACGCTGCTCCGAAGCGGGGCGGGGGGGCGGGAACCTCTCACCCCGCCGCCGGGCATCGGAACGAGGTCCTGGACCTCTTCTGAAGGCAGGCGGGGGCAAAAGTCTTTGCTCCCCCCGCCTGCCTTCCCGGGACAGCGGAGACTTCTCCGCTGCCCCGGGCGATCTTAAAATGCTGGCGGGCGGGAGCGAAGCGTTCGCTGCCGACCCCCAGCATTTTAAAATCTCCTCGGGGCAGCGGAGACTTCGCTCCCGCCCGCCAGCATTTTAAAATCGCCCCGGGACAGCAGGGGCTTTTAAAATGCTGGCGGTCGGCAGCAAAGCCCTCCTGTCCCCGGAGCTTGCGGGGCGGGAGGTGGGAAGAAGGGCTTTTCTTCCCACCGCCAGCCTTCAGAACAGCCTTCTGAAGGCTGGCAGTGGGAAGAAAAGCCCTTGTCCCCCCCCCAGCCTTCAGAAGAGGTCGGGGGACAGACTGTCCCCGGACCTGGTCTGAAGGCGGTTTCCCTAGGAACGCATTAATTGATTTTCAATGCATTCCTATGGGAAACCGTGCATCGCAAGACGAAAAAACCGCAAGATGAAGAGACTTGCGGAACGAATTAATTTCGTCTTGCGAGGCACCACTGTAATTACTTAAAACATTGTAAAGTTATGTTAATTGTTTTTATTGCAGTGGATGTTTTGATTGTGTGCCTTCCTGAATTCGGATGTATTCAGAAATGAGACCAGATTGTGAAATCGTTTTCAACCATGAAAGTGCTACTTGCAAGTTTGAGGTAGTTATCCACTAAACCTGTAATCCACGTATAAGAAACCAAACTTGACTGTTTTGCAAATGTTATATGAAAAAGAAATTTTATTTTATTGTAATAAGAAATATTTGAGATAAAGCTAAGAAGATTACATTATGAAAGGGAGCCATTCTGTCTGAATACTGATGGCATAAGAGCAGCTCCGCTGGATCAGGCCAAAGGCCCATTAAATTCAGCATTCTTTTCCTGCTAGATGCAGTTGACAGTAATGTTTGAAATTCAGTATCTTTTGAAATTTAGAGAACTGATTTTCATTCAATCCTTAAACCACAAATATTTTATATTTGATGTTCTAATGTATGTCTTATATGCAACCATCTTTCCCCCCCCTAATTGAGAACAAAGTGTTAGGGCTCATCCATGCTGCTGCTTGTTCCTTGACTACAAAGCATGGGCCCAAGAGGTTTTCCATTTGCCCCACCACTTTCCCCAGAAAACCTGATTGATGTTTGCTCTGATTCAGTGCTATAGAATGGGTTTTCCAGTGGAAAGCAATTCGACAAGTGGAAGTGTGAACAAGCCCTTACATTAACGTACATCCATGGGACATACCCAAAGAAAGTAACGATAACATTGTTATTCAGGATATTGAAAACCCTTTCATTGTTTTAATATGTTCTTAATGTTGTTTTTAATGCCCTGGGACCTTACAGTGAAGAGTGGGTAATAAATAGAAAAATTATTAATAATAGTAATAATAATATATTTAAGAGACTATTTTCCCACATAGTCTATATAGCAATAGTGAGTTGAATTACACTCCATTTAAGACATGCATAGTAAAAGCTGCTCTTATTTTTTCATGAAATTTGGGAGGCTATAACAGGAACCAATGTCATACATCTCTTTTCACAAAATGGAAAATGTTTTCTTCCTCTGTTCCTCCCCGCCCTGAGAAATGCAAGACTAGAAAGGAAAAGCAATGTCTGAAATAGTAGAATTCTGTGACCAAGCATTGCATCCTTCATATTTCCAATGTTCTAATGTGACAATGGGGAAATCAGTTTTGCTGACTCTCAAAATGTATGTATGACAGACATTAAGAACTACATGAATTGATCTTACAACTATTTACACATTCAAGTTTATTTTTAAAAATAGACCTCATTTTGAAGATAAACTAATCTTCGCTAATAAGAACATCTGTTGCAGGTCCATATGTAGCAACAAATTGTTTCAACTGTTGATGGCACTGCATCAAGTAAATATCCCTTTGATTCAGAGAGTTTTCACTATTGAGTTCAAATGGAAACACAGCATTTGGGGCCACACAAAACACAGAAGCACCTGTGAAAATAAAAGTAGAGGAATAAACTTATATAATTTATTTTAACTAGAAAATGTTAAAGTATAATTGAAAATGTGATTTACATCAATTGAAATTTCACATAGAAATATCCAGTGATAGGCATCCATGTAGGTAACAGGTTTCTGAACACAGTAAGTATGGGCAGAATATCTATAAGTACTTTCAGATGTTAAGATTTTTTATATGCAAAAATATAGTTGGTTCTTAGAATTGGGCTCATTCAATCTTTCTCTGTCACTGTACTAATAAATATATTTCTGGTTTTAAAGGTGGCCTGTCATTTTTTAAATGCTCTTTTTAAGGATGCTGTTTCCAAGGGAGCTAATATGAGTGCATGAAGACACAAACAATTCAAATCCCAGTTCAACTTATCAACCAAAGCTGTTAGTCTCATATCCTGGGTGCATATCCAATTGAAATGGGTCCACATGATCAGTATCCTACAGGAGTACCTGGAGTTGTGAGTCTGAATAGCAGTAATTGAAATTTATCGCACAAAACCAGACTAGATGATGCACTGGACACTTCTCTGAATTCACTCATTACAGTGGCATCTTGGTCAAGATGGACGCAATATATTTTGTGTGAGAAAGAGGGGCTCTTTATAGGAACCAAGTGCAGGAAAGTCAAGTGTCTTGTTTCTGACAGTGCCCTTCAGTGCAGACTCTTCAATAGATGGTGATGTCAACACAAAAGGAAGGGAAGAGAAATCTCATCCATGGAAATGAGACTTGGGGTGGACAAGCAGAACCTTGAGAGGTAACCAGACATTTGGTATTTGGAGCTCTGCTTTACAGCCCAAGCAGAAAAGCACCCTGCATTTAAGGATTTTACGTGGTTATTTTAATAGCCCTCATTAAGAAAGGTTCAGTTAAAAGGTTTATACCGTATTTTAAAGTGAGAGATGATTCAAATAGTAATACAGCAATCAAAACATCTTCTTCAAGTACTTCTGTTCTTAAACTCAGCTTAGCATGTGCTTTAGACAGTGAAATCCTACAGCACAAACATAAATTTAATAATTTAAAATCAGTTGTACAAAATTTTAATAACTGAAAGCTTCTGTTGCCAGAGATGATGTATGAATCTTTACACACAGAGAAATGTAGCTGCTACAGACATGTATGGGGAGAAATGGGACTTGCGTATTTTTGATATAATTCAGGTCAATTACTAGTACAAATAGAGGTGTGGTTTTAGGCTGATGGAGCCATAGTGGTTAAAATAGCTATAGTGCACAAGGCAAATACCCTCTACTGTGCAAGCCCAATTGTTCGTTAATGTATAATGTATACATAGATCTTTATGTATTAATGATAATAGAGAGGTGGGCAACTCTATTAGATTACTATTTGTGAGGTTTGGAAGGAGCTTATGACTTCTCTTGAAAAACTGGCTATGAGAGTCAAGTTTAAACTGATACATCATATTCAGAAATTTAACAAAACAGAAAGTTATATAAAATGGCTTTTGAGCTCTTAAACTTTATAATTTTTTTACAAAATCTAGGATTAGTGCTGCTTGAAATTACACATTTGTTCACATGTAACTTATACAGATAAGTTATTGCAATTTAAGAAACAGGAACTGAACAATCACATGTCTAAAACTTACAGAGCTAAGGGGAAATGTATTAGGAACATGGTGATGGTGGAATGACTGATCCTACTTTCTTTCCCAGCTAATGGAAGACAAAGGGATATTTTGGCTTATAGCCATCAGATTTGGGTTTGTCATAGTTACTTATGCAGAATTATTACACAGGTTAAATACAAATTTTGAAGAACACATACTTGACATGTAAATGAAAACCTACAAGATATTCAGTGCAGTTGCTGAGAGATTTGATCCATGAACAGGATGTGTTCTGATTCTGCGACTTGCTAAGTAGTAACCGTGAATCAGCCTTTCCGCTTCTGAACAGAGTTCCACATGCAAATTTTTGGAGAAAGCAAGGAACTAAAATGACATAAATTATTTCATTGGTTTATGAATGTGGAAAAATAACTAGATTTACCAGTGATCTTTAAATTTCAGGTGTATCATTTTAAAAAGTATTTTCCAAGACACAATTTTCATTAAAATATTAATAATTTGCCAATTCATTATTCTTGACATATTTTCACATTACAAAGAACGTGATTTTAAAATAGGCAAAAACGTGGATTATATGAGTGGTTGCATACATACAAACTCAACCTATTTCCTAAGAGCTTAAGACAGTTTACACCAATCACCATGGAAGTTAAGATACTCATGATTTAGCACGGTTGGTACACCGTTCTGCAGTCAAGTAAGTGTTGGGTCAAACACCTTCCTTGCTTCTTTTCACTTGTATTTTGAAGCCACTGTTGGATTTCACAGCTTTACTAAAGATGTAGATTTAGTGTAAGAAAAGTTCTCATTCCTATTCTGAATATTGGACATTGAAATTGTCTGAATTTGATAAAGTGCAGAATAGTCCTTTAGCAAATATGTCTAGTTAGACACGTAACATATATTTTGTAAGTTGGTTACTTGTACAAATTGAAGTTAAAGTAGCAGAGGAACAAAAGGGATCTTGATTATTCAAATGCACATAATCTGAAATATGATTGATAGAACAGCAGCTTATCAAACCGCTCCTCTTGTTTGGTTCAATTCATAATGTCTAGTTACCTCCTCATAATCTTGTGTTCCAAACTGTTTGGAGATAGCATAGACTGCATCTTCTGGATTGATGGCCTTTTTTAAAAGGAGATTCACAACAGGAAGAACTGGATTGGAAAATGCTGATTCATTGCAGTGTATCAGAAGCCAAAAAGCATCTATAACGTTAGCTGAAATAAAGCTTAAATCCTAGACAAAAGCAATATTTATATTTCAGAACAGAACTTCATATGGTTTCCAGACAAAACCAGCAAGTGAATTATTTGGGACTGAGGGTATCTAGAAAAATGTAAAATTCAGTGGTTTTTCTGAGAAACACATTTTGGAACATTTCATTTAGTACTCTTGGTCTATTTAACACATGCATGCACTATAGTCCTAGTTTTAATATTGTAGAAGCTACCTCAATTCACTGTTGAAAATAGATTGCATGGCTGGAGGAAATCACTTTCTAGAAAGTGGCTGCAAATTTTGTATATCAATGTCACTCTAAAAGCTATTAGGTATTTTTAATTAATGTCATTGTGCAATTCTAGCAAAGAAACGTTACTTACCATTTGGCCTATTAGAGTATTATCTCCTTGAATATGCTTTTTGCAAGAAGCATCCACATCAATAAATGACCAAAAACTGGTTTGAATTGGAAGGGTAACCTGCTGATCAATTTCTTCTCCATATTTCTTTCCAGGGATGAATATAGTAGTTGTTCTTCCTTCAAGTACTTGTAAAGTCAGACAATAAAGACTACTTAAAATTTGATGATTTTTTAAATTTCACTATAAATAGGTCTTTGAAGAATGAAAACAACATAGTGCCATTGTCTTAAAGAAGATAGCTCACATGCTATATATTCAAATTACAGAAATGCACTGGAAGTGCTGCATATCAAAATGTAGCAGAGAACAGGTAGATATACTGCTCCCTATTTTGAAGGACATAGAAATTGGTGAATAATATACTAATTTCTATCTTGGAAGGTAGTGGTGATACCCAATCTTTTCCTCTGTATCCACCACATATGCCCCAGGGACCTCCAGATATGACAACAGTAGGTTTGGTGGACATGTGGAAGCTGCCAGGAGTGGAAGGAACCTTCTCATTGCACAAGCAGAAGTCCTTTCCACTAGCTACAGGCACAGTTGAATGTCACCTTAGTTATTTTTTATTTTTTAATGATTAAAAGAATTATTCTTTATCAATACATTGCCCTGCTAGCAGACAAACAATATCCCAGTGTTTTGCTCTTTCTCATATGAAAACTACTACAGGTTGCATTTGATCAAGGCAAGTAAAGTGCTTCTGCAAGAATTGTCATTTGTCAGCCCATGTGACTAAACATAGTGGGTTTACACATGCGTAAAGGTAAAGGGACTCCTGACCATTACGTCCAGTCTTGACCGATTCTGGGGTTGCGGCGCTCATCTTGCTTTATTGGCCGAGGGAGCCGGCATACAACTTCCGGGTCATGTGGCCAGCATGACTAAGCCGCTTCTGGCGAAGCAGAGCAGCACACGGAAACGCCGTTTACCTTCCCGCCGGAGCAGTACCTATTTATCTACTTGCAAAATGTGATATCCTCTGAGGTGTAGAAAGCTGTTGCAGTTCTGATTTCTTACTGTGGAAAAAATATTGTGATGGACAGAAACCTGGCATAAGGGAGCTTTTTAGTCAAAGTGTATTTGGGCATTTGGATAACTGAAATAAGGTATGCCAGATTTTAGGTACTGTATTATACAAAACTTTCAGTTGGTTTACCTGACTGCAACTGTTCAAGCTTATCCTTCCTATGCGAAGATAATTCTCCAATGAAGCATACTCCCCCTTTGGCCAGCAAAGCACTATTAGCCTGAATGCTTGCAGTTCTAGTTCCATGCTTATCTTTGGACACAGTAGGAAAAACTTCACCAGATGGAATATGCCGTAGGCCCCGTGGAACAAGACTAATGCTGTAATTCATAACTCTAGGTGATGGGGAAAGTAGATATCTTAGTTACGGATGTGTAATACACTTGGAAAAGAAATCAAGTGTTTTTAAAAAATTATTTTAGTTTACATGACATTGCAGTTCAGTAGAATAATTCTATCCTTGGAATAAAGAAGTATATGCATTGTTTTACCTCACATATTTTCCTTTAAAAGCAAAATAAGAAATTGGAACAATTGCAGTAACAACATTGTTCTTTGCACAAAGCTAAATAAAGGGTATACACAGTCATCCTACAAAAGGGGGAGAGAATCTGCTTATTAAAGAAAAGAGCACTTAGTTACCTCTCTAATATTAGTGAATCATTCGTCAATACCAAAATATCCAGGTAATCTGCTGTTAAGTCATTTCTGTCACTTGTCTGTACTAGACTTAACAATATAACTAGTTTGAGAGTGTTGTTAATGCCTGGTGGAAGTACTTGTGAAGCAAAACTATTGGCCAGAAGAGCTGTAAATCTCCAACACGACTTTGAAGTCAAAGAAAGTAGATACTTAAATTTTTCACTGATCTGGGAAGGGCCTAATACAAAAACACACCAAAGCCAAATGAACAACATATCTTACAATTTTTACAAATATATTCAGTTTCACATCTTCCATTTGTAATTACAAAACTAGAAAAAGTTTTAAAAACACCCACCTCAATCTTATGCATGTAGATTCATGTGGTTCCCAGCTAAGTGTTCACAGGATTGCTTCTCAGGTTTACAGGTGTGAACACTTTAAAATCAGTTTCATTTTGTTAAATGAAAATAGGCTATTCCTTCAATGGTCCCTGTTACTTGGGGCATTCTCTACTGTGTCTAATTATGTGGTCTCCCAATTCTGCAGTGCTTTGTTTGCTCAGGCTGTCAGTTAAGAATCCTACCTTCTATTCTCAGGCGAGATCCAAAAGAATATATCCATACCCAATTTCAATATGTATGGACTTGGTTCGCAGCGAGAGCCCTCATGATGTCTAAATGACATTAAGTACAAACTATTGTTTGTACATTTACAGTGGTACCTCAGGTTACAGACGCTTCAGGTTATGGACGCGTCGAAACCCGGAAGTACCGGAACTGGTTACTTCTGGGTTTCAGTGCATGTGCAGAAGCACTAAATCACGCTATGCACAGAAGCACCAAATCGGGTCACGTGCGCAGACGGAGCGCTGCGGGTTGCAAACGTGCCTCCCACACGGATCACATTCGCAACCCGAGGTTCCACTGTATATAGTTTTATGTGGTGCCTTTCTACAAACAACACTTAAGGCATTTTACAATGTGGTGGTATCCAACTAAGTCATACTCTGCGCAGCCAACTGAAAACAATGGACTTAACCTAGACATATCTAAGGGCTTGTCCACATTTTTGCTTATCCTGTGTCAATAAAGTCGATCAGAGTGGGTTTCCCCTTGACCCATGCTTTCTAGGCACAGATCTGAGCAGTTTTCATCTTGCCTTACTCCTTAATCAAGAGAAAACCCAAATTGCTGTTTCCTCCGGTTGAGCGCTAAAGAGTAGAATCATAGAATCATAGAATCATAGAGTTGGAAGAGACCACAAGGGCCATCGAGTCCAACCCCCTGCCAAGCAGGAAACACCATCAGAGCACTCCTGACATATGGTTGTCAAGCCTCTGCTTAAAGACCTCCAAAGAAGGAGACTCCACCACACTCCTTGGCAGCAAATTCCACTGTCGAACAGCTCTTACTGTCAGGAAGTTCTTCCTAATGTTTAGGTGGAATCTTCTTTCTTGTAGTTTGGATCCATTGCTCCGTGTCCGCTTCTCTGGAGCAGCAGAAAACAACCTTTCTCCCTCCTCTATGTGACATCCCTTTATATATTTGAACATGGCTATCATATCACCCCTTAACCTCCTCTTCTCCAGGCTAAACATGCCCAGCTCCCTTAGCCGTTCCTCATAAGGCATCGTTTCCAGGCCTTTGATCATTTTGGTTGCCCTCCTCTGGACACGTTCCAGTTTGTCAGTGTCCTTCTTGAATTGTGGTGCCCAGAACTGGACACAGTACTCCAGGTGAGGTCTGACCAGAGCAGAATACAGTGGCACTATTACTTCCCTTGATCTAGATGCTATACTCCTATTGATGCAGCCTAGAATTGCATTGGCTTTTTTAGCTGCCGCGTCACACTGTTGGCTCATGTCAAGTTTGTGGTCAACCAAGACTCCTAGATCCTTTTCACATGTACTGCTCTCAAGCCAGGTGTCCCCCATTTTGTATTTGTGCCTCTCATTTTTTTTGCCCAAGTGCAATACTTTACATTTCTCCCTGTTAAAATTCATCTTGTTTGTTTTTGCCCAGTTCTCTAAACTGTCAAGGTCGTTTTGAAGTGTGATCCTGTCCTCTGGGGTGTTTGCCACCCCTCCCAGTTTGGTGTCATCTGCAAATTTGATCAGGATGCCCTTGAGTCCATCATCCAAGTCGTTGATAAAGATGTTGAATAAGACCGGGCCCAAGACAGAACCCTGTGGCACCCCACTAGTCACTCTTCTCCAGGATGAAGAGGAACCATTGATGAGCACCCTTTGGGTTCTGTCAGTCAGCCAGTTACAAATCCACTGAGTGGTAGCATAGTCAAGACCGCATTTTACCAGCTTCTTTACAAGAATATCATGGGGCACCTTGTCAAATGCCTTGCTGAAATCAAGGTAGGCTACATCCACTGCGTTCCCTTCATCTACCAGGCTTGTAATTCTGTCAAAAAACGAGATCAGGTTAGTCTGACATGACTTATTTTTCAGAAATCCATGCTGACTATTGGTGATCACAGCATTCCTTTCTAGGTGCTCACAGACTGTTTGCTTAATGATCTGCTCCAGAATCTTCCCTGGTATTGATGTCAGACTGACTGGGCGGTAATTATTTGGGTCCTCTCTTTTCCCCTTTTTGAAAATAGGGACAACATTTGCCCTCCTCCAATCTGCCGGGACTTCGCCTGTTCTCCAGGAATTCTCAAAGATGACTGCCAGTGGTTCTGAGATCACATCTGCCAGTTCTTTTAATACTCTTGGATGCAGTTCATCTGGCCCTGGAGACTTGAATACATCTAAACTAGCCAAGTATTCTTGTACTATCTCCTTAGTTATTCTGGGCTGTGTTTCCTTTGCTGAATCATTTGCTCCAAATTCTTCAGGTTGGGCATTGTTTTCTTTATCGGAGAAGACTGAGGCAAAGAAGGCATTGAGGAGTTCAGCCCTTTCTGTGTCCCCTGTTTGCATTTCACCATCTTCTCCTCTGAGTGACCCCACTGTTTCTTTGTTCTTCCTTTTGCTACGGACATACCCATAAAAGCCTTTTTTGTTGCTTTTAACCTCTCTAGCAAGCCTGAGTTCATTCTGTGCTTTAGCTTTCCTGACTTTGTGTCTACACGTGCTGGCTATTTGTTTGAATTCCTCTTTGGTGGTTTCCCCCCTTTTCCATTTTTTGTACACATCCTTTTTTAATCTTAACTCAGTTAAAAGTTCTTTAGATAGCCACCCTGGCTTCTTTAGGCACCTTCCATGTTTCCGTCTCATTGGTATTGCCTGACGTTGTGCTTTTACTATCTCCCTCTTAACAAACTCCCAGCCATCATGAACTCCCTTTCCTTTTAGTATTACTGTCCATGGGATTTCACCCAGCACTTCCCTAAGTTTTATGAAGTCGGCTTTCTTAAAGTCAAGAAATTGAGTCCTAGTATGCTTGGCTGCTCCTTTCCGCTGTATAGTAAACTTCAGAAGAGCATGATCACTCGTGCCTAATGATCCTTCCACTGCTACCCCACTAACCAGGTCATCAACATTGGTTAGGACGAGATCTAAAATGGCTGTTCCTCTTGTTGCTTCTCCCACTTTCTGGACAATGAAGTTGTCTGCAAGGCCAGTGAGGAATCTGTTTGACCTTATGCTCTTGGCTGAGTTTGACATCCAACAAATATCCGGGTAATTGAAGTCCCCCATTACTACTATCTCCCTTCCTTTTGCATGCTTGGCCATCTGTTCCAGGAAGGCATCATCTATGTCCTCCGTTTGGCTTGGGGATCTATAGTAAACTCCCACAATGAGGTCTCTGTTATTCTTCTCTCCCTTAATTTTGACCCAAATGCTCTCACTTTGGCTTTGAGGTTCTAAATCTTGGATCTCTTCACAGGTATACACATCCCTGACATATAACGCCACTCCTCCCCCTTTCTTGTCTGGTCTGTTTCTCTTAAATAGATTGTATCCCTCCATTATTACATTCCAATCATGGGACTTATCCCACCAGGTTTCAGTGATGCCTATTATGTCATATTTAGTTTGCTGTACCAAGAGCTCAAGCTCATCTTGTTTATTTCCCATGCTTTGCGCATTAGTGTACAGACATTCAAGTCCATTAATCATTCCCCCGTGTCTCTTATTTAAGGATTTTTTCCTCCCACCACTAGGTCTGCATGCTGTTTGCTCCATTTGGTCTATGACATTTGGATGATCATCTTCATCAATTGATAGACTCCTACCTTCAGGAGCATTGTCTCCCTCCCCCACATTAGTCAGTTTAAAGCCCTCCTGATGAGGTTTCTGAGATTTTTGGCAAAAACATTCCTCCCAACCGTTGTGAGGTGCAGCCCATCGCTTGCCAGAAGTCCATCTTCAAGAAACTGCAGTCCGTGATCTAAGAATCCAAACCGTTCCTGTTTACACCATTTGCGAAGCCAGCTGTTCACTTCCACTATTTTTCCCTCTCTCCCTGGGCCACGTCGTTCAACTGGGAGGACAGATGAGATGACAATTTGTGCATTTAGTTGCTTCAATTTCCTGCCGAGAGCCTCATAGTCTCTTTTGATCTTCTGGAGGCTATTGCTTGCAGTGTCATTGGTTCCCACATGAACCAAGAGGAAGGGGTATTTGTCAGTGGGTTTTATGATTCCTTGCAGTCGTTCAGTTACATCTTGGATCTTAGCCCCGGGGAGACAGCACACTTCCCGAGACATCTTGTCAGGCCCACAGATCACTGCTTCTGTTCCCCTCAGTAGGGAATCCCCTATCACCACTACACGCCTCCTCTTAGGTTTGGTCGGGGTTCTTCCGTGAGCTGTCCGTTCCAAGGTCGCCTGCACATTCCCTGAGGACTGACTTTGCTGGTCGTCTTCATATACCTGATCGACTGTAATGAGGGAGAGATCCTCAAATGGAGTGTGCTCTTCGTCTTCCATGCTAGGGGAGAGGACCTCAAAGCGATTGCGTATTTCTAAACAATCAGAGCGAACCCTGGGCCTCCTACTTCTTTGAGTCACGTTTCTCCATATATCTGGCTCCTGTGTTGGTGAGCTAGCCTCCTTCACAGGGGAGTCCCCTGTCTCCTCCTTGGTGGAGACGGTGTGCTCTGTTGCTTCCAAGAAGAGCTCCAGCTCTCTAATTCTTTGGAGCGTAGCTACACGTTCCTCCAGTTGCTGGACTTTGTCTTTTAAGAGAGCAATCAACATGCAATTGCTGCAGGTAAAGCTGCCTGCAATCTTTGGCAAGATGGCAAACATTGCGCAGGAACCGCAGGCGACTGCAGCTGTTCCCTCCTCCTCCATCTTGAGTACGTGTCGTTGGGGGTGGCTACAGCGGTCCTCCATCATAAAAAGTGTGAAGACAGGACAAATAACTCCCCACACACACAAAAAAACCCTAGGTCTCCCCCAACAAACGTTTGAAACTAGCTCCCCTAAATCTAAAAGATGGATCAAACTGCGCGCGCCGCTAGGCACGCGCCGCTGCCCTGCTAGCTCTGATAAGCTCCTCCCACAGCTAATCCCCTGCCTCAACAGAAACCCTGCCCCCTCTGACCTTTGCACAGGGAAAACAGCTAATCAGCCACAAAGACACACACAAGAAAACCCTTTTTGCTCCTTCTTCAACTGCTGCCCTGCTAGGTCTGATAAGCTCCTCCCACAGCTAATCCCCTGCCTCAACAGAAACCCTGCCCCCTCTGACCTTTGCACAGGGAAAACAGCTAATCAGCCACAAAGGCACACACAAGAAAACCCTTTTTGCTCCTCCTTCAACTGCTGCCCTGCTAGGTCTGATAAGCTCCTCCCACAGCTAATCCCCTGCCTCAACAGAAACCCTGCCCCCTCTGACCTTTGCACAGGGAGAACAGCTAATCAGCCACAAAGACACACACAAGAAAACCCTTTTTGCTCCTTCTTCAACTGCTGCCCTGCTAGCTCCAGGGGTTTACTCCAGGGGTGGGGGCAGGGGAGAGAAGCAGAAATGTGGCTAAATCCTAACTCATATGACTAAAGTCAGATACCACAGAAGAAGCACAGAACTACAGATGAAATGCAAGCCCACAAAGAAACCCAATGAACAAAATCTGCACAAGACACCAGTACTATTAGGGCAATGTAAATGTAGGAGAGTGCATAATTGATAGTAAAAGGCAATGTAGGTTTTATAAACACATTTAAAAGTAATTTAAGTCTCAAATGTGAAGTCATTTAAATGCTGTTGGATCACAAATTAATAGGTAGAGGGCACTCTCTGACTACTATTACCATTCACTTAATTCTTATCCAACTGAAATAGCAGACAGAGTGCCCTCTAAAACACAGTTACAGCTATCTGCCAATCACCCATTCCCACCACCCTTCTGAGTAATACCCCTCCCCACCTTCTCACTATATAGAAGGATCTGGCAACTTCTGTTTCAGTGTATCTGAAGAAGTGTGCATGCACACGAAAGCTCATACCAAGAACTAACTTAGTTGGTCTTTAAGGTGCTACTGGAAGGAATTTTTTTTTGCTCTAAAACACAGTGTGAATTGTGTGATCTGTATTTATTCAAACCAACTTTCACATATTTGGTTCATATTTGAGAGGGAGAGAGGAAGAAGCAAATTTCAATCATACAGAAAGTCCCAAAAAGTTTGCTATACATATACACACACACACAAACACAAAAATCTCCACTTGTTCAGTCAGGAACTGAATGCACACCCACTTCAACTATCCCCTTGTCTTACCTGTGAGATTACAGAGATGTATACTGTTGGCTTCCAGGCAAAGTGTGATTTGTATGCAGCTTGGCATACAGACTGGAATTCCTATAACTTTATACCTGTTTCCTATTTCCATTTTATTAGTTAGTTCATCTATAAATTAGCAAATAAACATGTAGGGATGTATGTATCTGCTTAAGACATACCCTGCCTTTATTCATAGAAGCTAGGTAGTTAACAACAGGAAAAAAGATCACAAACAATTTTAAATGTTACGGATACTAAGACTGCAATTCTAAATGCTCTTACCTGGGATTAAGGGCCATTGAACTAAAGTTCAGGTAAACATACACTGTAAAGGAGCAGCAGGAAGCAACACAACATAGAAGCAATAAAAACTATTCAAAAACCAGGGACAGTTGAAAACCAGCTTAAATAAAACAGCCATTTGTTAACCAAATGGCTTACTGAAGATGAAATTTTCCCTAACTTGCAAAAAGTCACACATAGGATTGCTCTGCCTAACTCACTGCTTTATGTAGTTTGGTCTATAAAGACTAGATTACCTTTATGAGGATAGAAATAAGAGTTACCTCTAGGAATGATCCATTCCCACCATCTTCCTTCTGCATTTATAAGATTGAACACAAAGCTACATTCATGTGACCAAATCCATCTACTCTTTCAATATTTTTCCTTTTTTATGTTTTTATTGAAATATTTTCCATAAGTAACAAAAGTACATTCAGTGTCTCTGTTTTTAAACTGTAGCATCCTTCATACAAATCAAATACAATCAGTTTGAGACTTTTTTTGTTGTAGACAACGTGGGGTTGAGAGAGGGGAGAAAGTAGAGAAAAAGAAATTTAGGAGAGGGGGGAGGTGAAGGAGACATTAAACTTTCATTTTTGCATATGTGAGTGGAGCTTTTTGTCAGTGTCACTTGGATAGGTGTCTTATTTTTGTTGGCAGAACAAGAGGTCAGAGGGCCCAAGGTATGGTTGGTTCCAGTTGATTGGTAGTGTGTTTTTTGGGGGGGGCATTGTTAGGTTACATTAGCCATATTGATTCATATCTTGCCAGGAGAGGGGGATCAGTCATTGCCTTGTTGGCTTGTGTATGTGATGAAGGGGAGCCACACAGGGGTAAAGGCATCCTTTGTTTGTCCCATGGCAGTTTCAGTTTGTTAAGTTTTTCTCATAGGGCAGTTTCCCATATAGTTTGGTACTAGTGGTCCATGGACACCCCAAATAGGTCCATCTAGTGTCTGGTTATGAGACTCCTAGCTGCTGAGAGTAAGTGGTTTATAAGTTTTTTGTCATGTGAATGTGCATTATTGCCTTGGAAGAAACTTAGTAGGGCAAATTTTGGAGTTTCTTCTATTACCTGTTTTTGTTATTTTGCAAATTTCTTGTAAGTCTGTTATCCCAAAAGATTGGATTTTGGGGCTTTCCTACCACATGTGGAGGTGTGTATCAGTGCCAGTGGATCCTCTCCTGGTTGTATCATCGCCAGCTTATGTGGTATTAGGTACCACCTGTAGATAAGTTTCAGGATGAGTTCTCTTCTCTTGCCCGAGAGGGACTTTAACGGTGGTTTAGTTCACAGCTTCGACCATTGGGTTGGGTTTATTTCATATCCTATGTCATGTTCCCATTCAGCTTTGATTGTGGTAAGGGGACTTGTAGTGTTTTGGAGTAGTGTTTTATATATTGCCAGTACTGTCCCTTTGCTACTTTTTCCATAATTGACCTATTTCAGCCTTGTGGTTCATCCACTTTTAACTTTGTTATTAGTGGTTCAACATGCAGTCAACTGTGTTCAGAAGGCTTTTAAAAAAAGACTTCAGGCAAACTTTTAAAGCAAGAAAAACCACACTTTCAGGGCATTTCATACAAAGCAGATGTTGTTCAAGTTATTTCAATTTGATGTGTGCAGGAGAAAAATCTCAGTAGATTATCTCAAAAGGACAGAAACAAACCATTTAAAAACAACAAACACAGAAATAGGCTCCTATTTTAAAATCTGTGAAGATTAATTATGTAAACCAGAAATGGCAGAGATCTCAAGAGAATAAGGGAAGTAGCTAGATTGAGGAAGGATGTTACAAAACTGAGTTACAGAAAAGCTTTATCATATGAACTGAAAGGAGGAAGTCACATTCCAAGGACAAGATAAGATTGTGTTTATTTTTTAAAGAGTCTCTACATTTTATTTTCACATACTCCCCTTTCCTAATATATGAGCTTCTCTACATATACATTCACATTTGATTGATAGGCATATCTATTCAGAAAGTGAAAGATTTATCCCATCCAAATGCTATTTTGTATAACACATGCTAGACTAACAGAATTCTGCAACACTTATCAGCCTAATAATAAAAATTTACATTAAACACAAAACTTACCTCTTAGAAAAACTGTGAAAGATTGAAATCTGAAAGGGGTTTTACTGCTGGAAAATCCTTGAAAAGCACTAATTGCTTTAGCATCAACTATTTCAATAATCTGCTTATCTTTAAAAAAGAAAAATGTAGGATTACATTTTTAAAATTAATCAGAAGTCCATCTCAAGCCATTTCCCCAACTGGGATTAGTATTATTAAAGAAAAAGCATTCTAAATCATCCCAACAGTCAGAACTATATCCACTCAAGTACTTTAGTACTGTACTACTCTTCCTAAGCTTTATACCTTCTATTGACAAAACGGTCAAAAAAGTGAAGTTATAAAGTGATCTGAATCACATAAAATGTTAAACCAAACCATGACTTAGTGCAAACACTAGCACGTGTGGGCTCCCAAAGAGGAGACTGCAGCTGTTTTGCTCCTTCTCTGGGTGTGCTATGGTGCTGTTGAGAGCTATGTCATGATTTGGCTTAGTGTGGCATCCAAACCCAGGCTCATGTTTCGTTTACTCAAGACAAAACACAAGCAGCAAGTCATACAACAAACCTTGCTACATCTTATGGTTTGTCTTCAGCAAGACAAATATCAAACCTGCATTCAGGCTTGGGATGGATGGATCAAGCTACCGTATTGGCCCAAATATAAGCAGCACCTTTTTCCAAATTCGGGCCATTAAAGTTTGGCTTATATTCATGACCTTACGCCCCCCCCCCCGAAGCAGTGCGGGGCAACAGTGTGCAGCCCACCCACAACTCCCAAACCTCCCCTGGCGCTGGCTTGGGGAGGTAGTGCCGGGAGGTGGTAGTGCCAGGAGGTGGGCATGCAGTGCGCTCGAAACCGGGCACCAGCTTGGGGAGTGGAGTGCCGAGCACTGGCGCTGGCTACCCCCCATCTCCTGTTCAGGGCAGTAGTGCTGGGAGGTGGGCCGCACCCACAATTAAGCCTTGAATTTTAAAGGTGCGGCTTATTTGCGGGTGTGGCTTATATTTGGACCAATACTGTACTTTTTTCTTGTGCTGGTTTCATGTTAACAAAACTGGGACAATTTTGTCCAGTTCATGGGGCAATTTCTTTACGAAAATCCTTTAAAAAACCCCCAGTTTTACGAGCAAAAAGTACAAGGTAGTACGAATGCACCTTTCTTCTCTGACCCATTATAGTTGCTTAAACCAGCTAGTACCTCCTTTGTGTTGACACAACTGAAATTTTAAAAAATGTTTTAAAATGGTCTCAGAATATGACGGTATATCTTAACGTGCAATCCTTTCCTGAATTGTACAGAGTTTAAAAAGGACAATCCCCACAGACATATGGGGGTAGCCATCTTTTCCCCTTCCCTTTTAGCATTTTGTCTTTAAATTGTAAGCCTGCGAACGTCTGGTGAAAGAAATTATCGTATGCAAACATGTATTACTGGGACACTGAAACCTCAGGAAACTTTGTGAATTCAAAAATAAGCCTACTAATTAGATTTTCTTCCACACACTATAAAATGCTAAGAGACTGGGCTAAATCTGTATTTCAGACACATTCAGACTTAGGAAGTGGGGAGCCTATCAGAGTCCCAATGCAACCATGGGGCATACATTATAAGCTTCACTCAATGTAGGGATGACTTTGAACTCCCTCCTCCATGCTTTTTCCTTCTCTTGTTGCCCAGTAGTACACCACACCATAAAAATACAGTGGTACCTTGGGTTACATACGCTTCAGGTTACAGACTCCGCTAACCCAGAAATAGTACCTCGGGTTAAGAATTTTGCTTCAGGATAAGAACAGAAATCTTGCGGCGGCGCAGCAGCAGCGGGAGGCCCCATTAGCTAAAGTGGTACCTCAGGTTAAGAACAGTTTCAGGTTAAGAATGGACCTCCGGAACGAATTAAGTTCTTAACCCGAGGTACCACTGTATAGCTATTGAAATGGTATAATTTAGGGCTAACAACAATACTATATAATGTTTACCACCAAGTACTCTGTATTTCATATCTTCCCGCAGTGGTGAAGTACACAAAGTGCACACAAAATTGTTTCTCACTGTTGCAGATTCTGTCGCTCCAGGTGTATGTACTCTTATATACTGAAATCCTAGGGGAAGTGTATAAAAGACCATATTTAAAGTTCTAAACATTCACAAAGTGCTATATATTGGTTTATAATGGTTTCCAATTAAATTTAATTAATCATCACCAAATGATCTCTGATAATGTACCTACTTGAAAAGAATATTGACATCCCGTTCATTCATTTGGGGCAAGTGCCAACAAAATTGGCATCCCTTTTTAGAGTTGTTTGAATGGCACACTGCTTTGCTATCTTAATACAAAGTCCTCAGTTGACTATAAGGTATGATACATGCTTAAGCAACAGGACATAGCCAGACTTTGGCTCAGATTCAGTTAAGACCTGCCATGCTAGCGGAAATCATTGTAATGGCTCCTGCTGAGCCTCCCTTCTCACCCCTCCCCCCCCAATCCACTGTAGAGGGTCAGAAGAACTCCCAGAATAGTATGCAGGGAGAGGAGAGGGTGGACCGTTCTGTCCATGGAGAAGGAGAAGTCTGAATCCCACCCGTTGTCCACCAGCAAACAGAAATATTTGCATGATAGAGAACAGAAGTAGAGTATAATCTTTTAATTTTTGGAATACAGTGGTGCCTCGCAAGACGAAAAGAATCCGTTCCGCGATTCTCTTCGTCTAGCGGTTTTTTCGTCTTGCGAAGCAACCCCATTAGCGGCTAAGAGGATTAGCACTATTAGCGATTTAGCGGCTTAGCGGCTATTAAAGGATTAGCGGCTAAGCTGCTAAAAGGCTATTAGTAGCTTAGCGGCTTTGAAAAAGGGGGGGAAAGCGGGGGGGGGGAAATGGCGAGACTCGCAAGACGTTTTCGTCTTGCGAAGCAAGCCCATAGGGAAATTTGTTTTGCGAAGCACATCGCAAACGGAAAACCCTTTCGTCTAGTGGGTTTTCCGTCTTGCGAGGTATTCGTCTTGCGGGGCACCACTGTATATGATGGAGAATAATCCACTGAATACTACTGCTGAGTGGTATGGTCAATAGCAAATGATATAGCCAGTGTAGTGCAGGGCACACAGATGCATCTAAACACAACAAACAGGCATAAAAGTTATGAACACAGAGATCAATTATCTTCTCTGCTTTCTCCTCCGAGTCCCTTCTATAGCCAATGATCTGCTTGATAGTAGGAAAATCAGTTTGTGAAACGATTTTCATGTGTATCCAGTATGAGAAATCACAGGTCTATAACGCTCTCGCAAATATGTCAGCAACATGCAGTGTATTAGATTTTATATACAATGTCTTGTACAAGCTTACGGTATAATTTTTAAAAGCTGAATTTACTGGTGTAAGTCAGTAAGTTATAACAGAATTCAAGATTCCAGGTTGGTGTACCTTCAGAAAACGCACAGTTTTCATCACAACAAACAAATCTTGCTCCTTGTGTATATTTTGTTACAGTGGACATTGCAACAACTATTCCCTCTGCCATATAAAATCTCTGAGAAGTATAATCAAATGGAAATTTGCAAAGACTGAAAATATAACTGGGCAGGGAAGGTAAATGTGTTAGTTTCAGCACTATGCTCATCTGAAAAAAAGAGACACAAAAATACCATGATGATGATGATGCCAGTTATAAATAGCAGATACTACAGTGTAACCCTATGCATGCCAACTCAGAAGTCAACAGGGCTTACTTCCAAGGAAGCTTACTATAATTAAGATATGCCTTGAACGCATTTCAGAAGAAATATTGCAACAAACTAAAAGGTCAGTGAAGCTATATTGTTTTATAAATACAACTAATTTCTTTAAAAAGTGAAATACGAAAAGCAGAGTTCAAACCTACCTGAGCTTCAGTCTGTAGCTGCTGAATAAGTGACAGTGTTTTAACTGCTGTAAAACACACCTATAATTCAAAACCCAATTCATTTCATAAGGCAACTGCAGTTTAAAAGAGTGATTAACAAATTTCACCAAAATATATGAGATTCCTTACAGACTGAAAAATCTGAGTGGCCTTAACAGGTTTATGCAAAATGTAATTTCCAAGGGTAGCATCCAACTCAATAATATCAGATGGATTTATCAATATAGGAAACCGGAAAATGGCATAACTTTGCTTTGAATCTGTAAGAGTAGAAAGGAAAAACCATCAACATTGCCCATATACTGATTTAAACTATAATTTTAAAAATTGCTAAATACTACCATTGTATAATTTGCAGGCATTCACAAATTTCTGAAGGCCACCACTCCTGTCAAGATAAATCAATGCAACTTCCTTCATTCTGAGAAGGTCTGGCTTCATTTTCTCTGAATGGATTTGTTTCCGTACTAAACCCTTAGATCACAGGTACACACTATGGGGAAGAATTTGATATGTCAGTAAGGTCAAGACAATGGAACATGCAGTAAGAATTCTGCAGTGACAAGTTACCATTAGCACTTACAGAAAATGAATTACATAATACAGAGGTTGATGCCATGGCACCTGCATAGGCCTTGATTGGTATCCCTGGGCAGGCCCCCACCCCAACTCTGAGCTTTTTTCTTTCTTTCTTTTTAAAGAAACTTATGAAGCAAATTGTGCAGGTACCCTTCCAAGTGTTTTCTTTGAAATGAGTGCAGTGTATACTGTCCTCACAATGTATATGTCCACACAGAGATACGTCTCCTTGTGTTTAATGGAGCTTACTCCCAGGTAAGTGGGTACAAGATGGCAGCCTAGGCTTTGGTTGGGGTTGGCATTAGGGGAAATGAGGGTTCTTGTGCCTTTTAACAGCTGTAAGACAAGCAGAAATACAACAGGTTAATCATTTTCTATTAGCGAAATATAATTATGGGAAAAGCTTTATCATAACGACTCTCTTTAATTTCTTTGTTATGTAATGCTCGCCATGGCAGCTATGTTGCACTATGCTGTGCTCCCATGGCAGTCATTTTGTGATTGATGCTCATAGCACTTAACATTCAAAATGCACCCACTGGTCCAAAAAGTTTGGCGATCCTTGATATAATGCAAAGCCTTGCTTAATTTATTCAGATACTGAAGAAGGATCCGAGTACTGGAATATGCTTTAGATTACAAGCCAAAGCATTAGTCTTGTGGATGTGTACTTAGCAACATGGGTGGAATCTTTATTACTTTTTTTTTAAAGGACAGATAAAATATATTCACTATGTTCTGGTCTTAAATAATTTATAATAAATTATTGCAGTATAAATCTTATAAAAGGAAACATCTTGCTGTATCAGTTTTGTCAAGAATTTAAATCCTAACATATTTCAATTGGACTTCTATGTAATTTAAAGGAAATTAGATAATGCATCTATTTGGGTTGGGCATCTGATGATCTTAACTGTAAAAAACTGTAAAACTGTAAACTGTAAAACTGTAAAAACTACATGTTAGAAATATTCTACATGGCTTTTAGCTTTTCCAGTACTCTGATTTCTCTGCAGTCCCAACAGTGAGCACTACATCTACACTTATTTGTACTGGGGGTTAGGAAACTCCTGTTCCATCCAGTGGGAGCTTCCCTCTCACCAATGAAAACAGTCATGGGGGGATGGGAATCCAGATTAAGACTGCAATGGGGGATAAAATACACTTACTCCCCACAAGTGTCCCAATAGGACACTCTCACACACAATTCACTTTTTAAAAGACATTCAGTGTGAATAGAGTTGCATTTAATTTGGCCACCCAAAGTCAGTGTACTGAAGTGGTTAAAGTGTCAGACTAGATGCTGGGAGACCACCGTTCAAATCCCCATTTGGTCATGAAGCACAAGGAACACTATTCAAAGAACTATGCTCGGTATAAAGTCAAAAATACCCATTTAAATAGTCCCAATTGTATGTTCTGTCTGGAACAGTAGCATAATCTGCCCACCAGAGAGCTCTGGATATAACCCTATGCCACCAACTGGGCAGTTGCTGAATAATTTGAAATGAGGAAGGCTCAGCAAGAAACAGAACCAAAGATATCAGTGTCACACCTATGTATATGTGCCTCACAATCAGATAGGGTGAAATAATTTAAATGGTGATTTAAATCTAAGTTCTTTAAGTGTCATTTCCCATCATGGATATAATGGGATAGGGATTTCAATACGAAAAACGAAGAATATTGTGGAACAAACACATATTCTAACATAAAAAACCCAAAAAAAGCTCAGCGAGTTTGGTTTCTTCCTAAAAAGCTGCATTTTAAAAAAGCACCCTCAGGTCCACAGTTCCATTATAGATGCTTTCATATCCTGGCCTCAAAACCCTTCCATTTCTGCACTGATGTCGCAATGGCCCACCTCACTACATTGTCACCCTTTACTGCCATTACTAATGTAGCTCTGTCTCTTCTTCAGGCATGCCAAAACCAATGTGTTACTGTTCTCTTGCAATGGTGCATTTAAAAAATCCAACTAAGTTGTTTGTGTGAAAAGAATCCAACAACACACTTGAACTTAGCCTCACACAAGCCATTGCATGCAGTTGTATAATTTCCCTGTCTTGTTTTTCTTCTAAAACATCCTTGGAGGTGGCTGTATGATTAAGTTGAAGACTAGCACAACAGCAAAAGGAGGAGCTGTTTAACGTTATGGGTTCTCCCCCACAAGCTGATTTTCAGCCTACAAGCAGGAGGATATAAGAGGCTCTATGTATTTAATTTAATGTTTAGGGAAGTTTTTAATGACTGATGTTTTAATGTATACTTAACTTTAATGTATACTTAACTCCCCAGAGTGGCTGGGGAAACCCAGTCAGATGGGCGGGCTAGAAATAAATAAATAAATAAATAATTCTGAAAAGTGGTCAAGATCCTACCGCACATCATGCGCAGATTTGTGGCAAAACAGTTATTAGTACCCACCCATAGTTATGTGTGACTGAAAGATGACGGTAAACCGATTATGTGGGATTCTAGAGCCCCTGTCACAGAGATGGCACTCCAAAGGACAAAAGTGGGAAAGTGTCTAGCCACCCCAAAAAACCTACTTTTCTCCCTACCTCCACTGAGGAGCACTGCTGGCAATAGCAGGCCCTGAGCAAATGAACAAGCTTTCTGTATTTTCATTAACAATTTATGCCTATTACAGAACTTTCCCCCTCAGACTTGTTTTGCCCTCTCTTGTCCTCCCTCATATTTTTTCTAGTACTGCCATTGCTTCCTCATTAGCCTTTCACTCAGAGGAATAAAACCACTGAACCTCCACCCCTCTTTCTTGTTCCTTGCGTCTCTCTGAAGGGGAGCTGATCCAGGCACAGAGAAGGAGCCAGACTTCAAACTTCCCTCCATATGAACACTCCTCAGAAAGAAACAATGGTCAACATCCACTTCAGGTGGACGCTGTCTGTTGCTTGGCAATCCTACTGCCAAATCTTACATTTTCAAGTTTCTGTTCCACAACTTTGCTGTCAGCAGAGATATTCTCAACTCTGATAGGATAAAAAGCCTCACAGGCACAAAATTTACCTCAGATTACTTTAATTCAAGGGACGTACATTTCCCCCCAATTACTTACTATTTCATCAAAACTGCAATCCTAAGCAAATCTTACAAGGGAGCAAGTCCTACGGAACTCTCTGGATCCTACTTCAGAGGAAACCTATTTTGATTTAGGCTTGTTAGTTTAAGTGATCTTTGAAAAAATTGTAACAATGTCAACCAAGTGCAATTCAGCAGTCTAGGGTATTTATAAATATGAAACAATTTTGCAGAAATAAAAATCCCAGGTTAACACTTCTAAAGCAATAATATTTCAAAAATAATGAACTCATACTCAGTGCTGGGTTTGATTTCTAATATTACTTAAAGGGGCAGGACAAAACACTCCACTTCAATCCTGTACATAATGAAGCACTGAAGTGCAGTGCCAATCTCATTTAAGTGGTTATATATTAGAAACTAAAGCCTGTCAGTGACTCTGATTTTTTGTTATTGAAATGTGGTTGATTTTCCTTTCAGAAGTGCTGAGCCTGAAATGCGCATTTTGATTTTGCAGAACTGTTGAGTTTTAAATAACACACTAGGCCACTGCTGAAAGCTCTGCTGAAACACGTTTAAGTAAGACAGTGGTTCTCAAACTTTTTTCTCTGGGCCACACTTTCAGAATACAAATTTGCTCGTGCCACACACATTGGAAAATAAAACAGCAGTGCTTGATTTATAACACAGAACATGACTACTTTATTCCTTTGATTGTCCTTGAATCTTCCCGCCACACTTGCCCTCCTCTCCTGCCACACTCTTTGAGAACCCCTGACCTAAGGAGTTGGTAGGAGTGCGTGTGTATGTATGCATGTATATATATATAGTGATAGTATCCAATCATTAATAAACAAAACTCTATTTTCTTTACACATTTTCAAAGCATGAAAAAAAGGAACAATCTGCTTCCCTCCCTTTTGTTGGCATATGTTTGTGAATGAAAGATATATAAATAGACGAGGATATATTTATTCTGGATTAATTAGACCTCTGTATTAAAGTACTTGTATAAAAAGGAGTGACCAAACTAAGAGGCCTACATCTAAACGTGTTTATTCTGAAGTAAGTGCCAGATAATTTGGTGGGTGCCTGCTACCTAGCAATAGCCAATGGGAGTGTTGCCATGAGGGTATCCTCTCTTGGATTAGACTGAGGTGACAGAAGCATTTCTTTCAGTTGCTGGGGGCCGGATTGTAATTTCCTTTTGCAGCTAGAGTTGGGATCCCAGTAAAAGATGCACTAATCTAGCACAAAAGTGGGTCTTTTAGCTGGACACTGGTTGTGTTTGTTTGTCTGGAGCCTCTGCTAAGTGTAGTTTAATTCTGTTGGTTTTTATCTTTTCCTCTTTTGTTCCTAGTTTGTGCTAGGTATCTTCCTAAGCTCAATCTCTCAAGATGAACTTTCCTTTTAGGAGGGTTAGATATTTACTTTACTTTTAAAGCAGAGCTCAGAGTCTGGCCCCCCCTTGCTGGCATGGGCCCTGGCAACCTGATTGTGCCATTATAATCTGACCAAGGGTACTCAGTTGCAGTCTGTTTGCATTGGCTTGATACTGCAAGATCTCTTAGTGCCCAGATTTTGTTCTGTTTTGTTTGGGTTTGTTGCTCTCTCTCTCTCTATTTTCTTTTCATGATTCAAGACTTTAGTAAAAAAATCCAAATCATGGCCACAGTGGAAACAAGACATGTGGACTATTTTCTTCAAGGTGTAAATTCCATATTTAATTAATTCCTTTGAGGTTTCAGTTTTCCCCAGCCACAATCACAAAGTTCCACACTGAATTTAGGAGAGTTGTTTAAGTAAAAAATGTGTCTATTGTGGCCAGTCAGTCTTTTTACAAATGGACTGTGTTAGCTTTTTTTTATTCCAAGCATGAACTAATCAAAGTATAGATCTCATGAAAGTGAATTTTAATACAATCAAATTGCAATATATTAGTTTTCTAAACACAAGAACAAAATTTCCCTTCTACAAATGCAGTCATTTTTTTCCTTATATATTTCTTTGGAAAAAGCCATTTATCTTCTACAAGAAGAGGAAAAAAGTTATAGTCATTATGAGAAGCATTGTTATTAAAAAAAAATACTTAAGGCTAATTTGTTCCACCTTTATTTAACCTAGAGAGCACATTTCTAGGTTTTACTAATGGAATGTATCAAATTACTTGAGTAAAGTGGTAATGGTTGCAATTCAGGGCCCAGTATAACTAAAGGTGGCACAGTTTGGCCTTAAGATGGGCAATATTGTACAGATTCTTGCTTGGAGTTAAGAAGAAGTGATACCAATAAACCACCTTGGCTTAAAGAACAAGCAAATTGTGCAGAGTATGCTTATCTTCTTTAAAAAACAGTGCTATACAAAAAAATTTGCATAGTAACATTTCAAGCACAAAGTCACTAGATAGCTTACAAAGGCCTTTAAATGAGAAAGTGTGCTGCTTTGAAAGACAGACAATTTGGAGCTATCAATGTAAACTTGGGGGAAAACAGTCAGTGTCCTTTCTTACAGAGAGTCAAAGTTAAGAACAGCTAACTAAAGGTATTGGTTCAAAAAGTATTTTTGTACAGCAGGTGTAACAGTCGTAAGGAAGTAATCCAAAATGCCCAGGTTCCTCATATTACAGCAGAAAAAGTTTGTTCAACATTTCAAACGACGGCACTAGTTGCACATATTTTTGAATCCGTTCACAATCAAAACGTTCCAGTCCATCTAAAGATGACTTGCAAGTATTTCTTAGCATCCAGAAATCTTAGTGAAATGAGTCCTCAGAAGGTGGTGCATAAGAAAATCCAATGAATGCATCATCTGCTTCCAGCACACTGGCATTTACAATATTATAGTCAGAAGAAATACAAACTGAACAGGGTACCATTTCTTCTGTAAATGCTGTGTCAAAGTTTCTGATGTCATCTGGACCAGACTAGGAAATAAAACATACAAATTGTTGTAAGAAAAAGGTATGGTTTCTACCTCTTGTGTTACATATTTCAGTTCAAACTGGAAGGTCTATTAATTTATCAACAAAACAATTTATCAGCAAAATAATCAATGGTGCAATCTTACCAGGGAGAGTGTCCCAGAGTCCATAGGATATTGTGGACCTCCCTCTCTATGGGTGGAAGTAATGGAGGGAACCAAAAATAAAAATAGTTGTCCATACCTTCTGCCCTGGCCAGGACAAGTGGGCAGGGCTTAGGAAATAGTAGTAGCTTCACCACAGATCTTTACACCCTGATAGGATTGCTTTGCTAGAGTTAGTGTATCTCACCATTATGATTACTTTAAAGCTCTGCTTGAAACGTGTTTTTTTCAAAGTTCTTTTTGAATAGTTTTCCTTTTTGAAGTTATTTGATACCATGATAGATTTTTTTTCATGCCTTCCTTCCAACTAAGCATTTGAATTTGAGTACAATTATTGCTGCTGTTTTTTATAGCTAACCGTAATTACTTCTTGAATGAGTTCTTATATTCCAGTTTACTGAAGTATGAACTATTGTACCTACCACATTAGGATTAAACGGTGGTGGGATCTTTTTTTGTTCGAGGTCAGTCCAGCTGAGAGATTCAAAGAAGGGATGCCTCTGAATTTCAAGCTGAAATACAAGATACAATTGCATGATACATATACACTTGTCTTATACTGATCAGAAAGCAGTCTTTTGCCTTTGTCAAGTACTTTGCTGATTTATATAAAAAGGGAACAGAAAAGACACCAAAGATAGAGGAATATCTTTTAAAAAGTAATTTACCAAAAAATAAAAACAGGTAAGTTGGCAGTATTAAATGTAGAAATAACAGGGCAAGAAGTCTTAAATGCAGTAAGTCAAGCAAAAGTTGGGTAATCGCCTGGACCAGATGGGCTATCAGCTAAGTATTACAAGAAACTCAGTGAACAGCTTGTGAAGCCTCTAAAAGATCTGATGAATGAAATTCTAAAAATAGGGAAGGTTCCAGAGACATGGAAAGAAGCATATATAACACTAATTCCAAAACAAGAGTCAGTTAAAAATTATAGACCTATTTCTCTATTAAACAATGATTACAAATTGTACATCTTAGCAAACAGATTAAAAAAGGCTTTAGAGGAATATATTCATAGAGACCAAGCAGGGTTTCTATCAGGTAAACAAATGAAAGATAATATAAGAAATATTTTGAATATAATAGAATACCTGGAAGTTAGAAATGAAAAACAAGCGGCCCTAATGTTTATAGATGCACAGAAAAGCCTTTGATAATATCTCTTGGGACTTTATGAAAAAAGTCCTAGAAGAGAAGGAATATGGAGAAAATATCTGAGGGGAGTCCAAGCTATTTACTCAGAACAAAGAGCAAAACTAATTGTAAATCAAGTGATAACAAAACAATGTGAGATTCAGAAAGGAACAAGACAAGGATGCCCGTTATCACCAATTTTATTTATTATGGTCCTGGAAGTTTTAGCAAGGAATATTAGAGAGGATAAAGAAATGGTAGGTATTAGGAAAGGTAAATATGAATACAAATTAAGAGCTTTTGCAGATGTTTTAGTAATTACTGTAGAAGAAACAAAGATATCTCTCCCAAAGGTAATAGAAAAAATATAGTTTGGTCAAGTAGCAGGATTTAAACTTAACAACAAGAAGACTAAGCTACTTCTAAAAATCAAAAAGAAGAAGAGAAGAAAGAACTATCCCAAGAGTTAGGAACTGAAATTCATAAAAAAGTTAAGTACCTAGGAATATGGTTAACAACGAGAAACATAAATATATATATAAAGATAATTATGAGAAAATATGGAATGAAATGAAAAGAAATCTAGAAATCTGGGGAAGGATGAATCTTTTCCTGTTAGGGAAAATTGCAGCAATAAAGATGAGTGCTTCGCCAAAGATACTATTTCTATTTCAGATGATCCCGATGATAAATAATAATATATCCTTCAAAAAGATATTTCAAAATTTATCTGGAATGGGAGAAGACCAAGGATAAAACATAAGATACTAACAGACTTAAGAGATAGAGGAGGCTTTTCTCCCCCATATGTGAAATTGTATTTTGAAGCAGCATGTCTTGAATGTCTTCTTTGGATACGGGATTGGATAAAATTGGAAAAAGAAGAAGCGATTGCCCTCTATCCCCTCTGCTATTTATTTCTGTCCTGGAGGTGCTTTTGAACATGATTAGGGAAGACCGGTTGGTACAAGGAATACAGGTCGGAGTGAAACAATTTAAACTGAAGGCCTTTGCAGATGATTTGGTTTTAACATTACAGGAGCCAGAATCTAGTACGAAGAGAGTGTTAGAACTAATCCATGAATTTGGTCGGGTGGCGGGGTTTAAATTGAACAAGCAGAAAACTAAGGTTTTGGAGAAAAAATTGACACCCCTGGAAATAGAGGGGTTTCAGAAAGAGACAGAATTAAATGTGGTTAAAAAAGTGAAATACCTAGGGGTAAATTTGTCTGCTAAAAATTTGAATTTATTTAAAGATAACTATGAAAAATGTTGGTCAGAAATTAAAAAAGATTTAGAGATTTGGTCAAGATTGAAACTTTCCTTGTTGGGTCGAATTGCAGCTATAAAAATGAATGTATTGCCGAAGATGTTATTTTTGTTTCAGACCCTACAGATCGTGGACAGAGTGGAATGTTTTGGAAAGTGGCAGAAGGATATTTCTAGGTTTGTCTGGCAGGGCAAAAAGCCCCGAATAAAATTTAAAATACTAACTGATGCAAAAGAAAGAGGGGGGTTTGCCCTGCCAGATTTAAGGTTATATTATGAAGCTGCGGCTTTCTGCTGGATGAAAGATTGGCTACTACTTGAGAACACTGATGTCCTAGATTTGGAAGGGTTTAATAATGCGTTTGGATGGCATGCATACCTGTGGTACGACAAGGTAAAGGTTCATAAAATGTTCAAAAACCATATTGTCAGGAAAGCAATATTTATGGTCTGGACAAAATATAAGGACTTATTAGAAGGTAAGACCCTGAGGTGGCTATCACCAGCGGAGGCCAAGGTCCGAAAGAGACCCAATATGGAGGCTGGCTGGCCTAAATATTGGGAAATAATAGAAAAAATTGGAGACAACTGGAGGCTGCAGAGCTTTGAAAAATTAAAGAATAAGGTGCAAGATTGGCTTCATTATGCTCAAATTCAAGAGGTTTTTAAGTTGGATAAAAAAATAGGATTCCAGGTGGAAAAATCGAAATTAGAGACAGAATTGTTGGAACCTAAGACCAAGGTACTTTTGAGAATGTATAACTTGCTGCTTAAATGGAACACTCAAGACGAGACAGTTAAATCAGCCATGATAAAATGGGCTCAGGATATTGGGTACAACATTATGTTTGAAGACTGGGAAAGGTTATGGACCACTGGAATGAAATTCACGGCATGTAATGCCCTGAAAGAAAATATTATGAAAATGATATATAGGTGGTACATGACCCCAGTCAAACTTGCTAAGATATATCATCTGTCTGATAATAAATGTTGGAAATGTAAGGAGGCTGAAGGGACATTCTTTCACCTCTGGTGGACCTGTCCAAAAGTGAAGTCCTTCTGGGAAATGATTTACAATGAGCTAAAAAAGGTATTTAGGTATACCTTTCCCAAGAAACCAGAGGCCTTCCTCCTGGGCATTGTCGGCCAGAAGGTGTTAAAGAAGGATAGAACCTTTTTTATGTATGCAACTACAGCAGCAAGAATTCTTATCGCAAAATATTGGAAGACACAAGACCTACCCACGTTGGAAGAGTGGCAGACGCAATTGATGGACTATATGGAACTGGCTGAAATGACTGGCAGAATCCGAGATTTGGGAGAAGAAACAGTGGAAGAGGACTGGAAAAAAATTAAGGACTATTTACAAAAATATTATAAGTTGTATGAATGTTAAAAACTGCACGATTTGGAAGTTTTAGCTTCAGCAATAAGATTCCTGAAACAGGAAATTAAGTTACAAGTAAGAAAAGGTTGAAATTTAAAGTATTACTATGGTTGATTTAAGGTACAAGTAATTGACAAAAAGTATTTTAAATTTAAAAATATAATATTTGAAAGGTACAAAACAAGATGTGAAAAAAGGTAATAATTTGCTGACATTTTTATTGTAAAGAATGCATGGTAGGGGAGATGTGAGGAAGTCCGGTTGGTTATGTAAAAATGTTTTTGAAAATTGGATTTTTCTTTTTTCTTTCTTTGTTTCTTTATTTCCTTTTTATGGCTTTTATATCTCTGTTTGTGTATCTGAAAATGTAATAAAAAAATATTTTTTTTTAAAAAAAAAGGAAAAAGAAGAAGCGTTAGACCTAGAAGGACACAATAATAGATTTGGCTGCACTCATATTTATGGTATGGGAAAGGGAAAAGGCTTTTAAAACTGTATAATAAAGTCATTAATAAGAGTGTGGGAAATTACAAAGATCTGTTAGAGCAGAAAACACCATGGTGGCTGTTAACAGAAGAAGAAGGTAAACTCAAACTAAAAGAGTATGATGAGCTGAAAGACTATTTACAAAGTTGATTACACCATAGGCAATTAAATGAAATTTTTAAGGAAGATAATAAAAAGGGGTTTAGTTATACAATCTCCAGATTTCAAAAAGAAATAGTGGAAGAGAATGTTAAATTGTTTTAAAAATGATATAGTATTTTATTAGAGTGGGAAACCAAAGATGAAGAGGTTAAATCAGTTATCATTAAATGGGCTCAGGATGTGGGACACAACATGCAATTTGAAGTTGGGGAAAATTATGGAAAGTTGATATAAAATTCACAGATTGCATACTATTAAGAGATAATTACATGAAAATGATGTATAGAAGGTATATCACACCAGTGAAAATGGCAAAGATGTTTAGGAAAGAAAATAACAGACGTTGGAGATGTAAGAAAAAGGAAGGAAGATTTTATCATATGTGGTGGGAATGCAAATGCATTAAAAATATTGGGAAATGATATACAATGAATTGAAAAAAATGTTTAAAATAAATTTTGTCAAACACCCTGAAGCCTTTTTGTTAGGTATCTCAAATCAAGAGCTACCAAAAGAAAAATGGACATTATTTATGTATGCTACAACAGTGGCAAGAATCTTGATTGCACAATATTGGAAGATGGAAGAAATACCGTCAAAGGAACAATGGCAAGAAAAACTGATGAACTATGCAGAATTGGCTAAGCTAACAGACAAACTACGAGAGGACAAAAAGGACTTCAAAAGAGTCTGGGAACCATTTACACTTTACTTGCAGAAACAACAGAATGGACTGGATTCACTGGCAGGATTTGAATAAACTTTCACAACTTCATTTGAGTAACAGGTATTTTAGAGAAATGATAAGGGATTTTATTTTTGTGTAGGAAAAGCAGAATACGATAAATAAAACTAAATAACTCAGAAGAGGGGGAGTTAAGGGCAGTCCAGAGGAGGGGAGGGAGAATAATTGTAAATAATATGATGAATGAGATTTGTATCATTAATTGTTATAAAATTCAAATTTTTTTGTTTAAAAAAGAAAGCAGTCTTTTGCTGTCAAGAAAATAAACCTTTGTAATATGCCAGAGTAATATATTTCACAAGGCAAATATCCTACAGGAGCATGACTACTTGGGTGTTACATATGTTTTCAGTTTGTGCTGAGCCAGCCAAGCTAAAGAAATAGTCCTAATTGGAAAATGCATTTTGTTTACTTAAAGCAACTGCAGTAGCCAGACTCAGATTATTTAAATGGTTCCTATCAATAAATTTCCACACCTTTTAGGATTGCCTTGGCAACTGATAATTTTCAAAGGAAAAGTCAATATTTAGAATTCTAAATTGAAGTTATAGCTCTAAGCTTGACATTGCCTATTGATTGATTGGTTGGTTTCATCAGATACATTACGTACAAAATCTTCTCTAGCTCCAAGTCTGTTTTGTCTCTCCTTCTCCAAAAGTTCTTCCAGAATAGACCAAGCCGTAAGACTGATGCCTGGCCTTAAATGTAGGGGTTTGTGGAGAATATTTTCATACATCTCAGCAACATCACGGCAGTAAAAGGGCGGCTGGAGAGGGCAAGGAAACACACAATTAGGATGCTAAACTAAAAATCACTAGGCTTATTCGAGAAATGTAGATAAATGAATAATTTGGGATGCTCACTCATGCTAGATTGGACAGAGTTCACTTCAGAGATCACAAGGCAGAATAGTCAAGAACACCTGTTTAATCTGTGTAGCAGGTTCATGTCATATAAAGGCAAGAAAGGGGCTTTTTTGACCACCACTTTGGAGTTCTTGTCTCTTGGATACTCATAAAGTAGCTTATGAAGCACTATCAGCCCTTCTTAATAGCTGATTTAAGAATTTTGCTGAAAACTGTTATACACCAGAACAATATAAATAGCAACTATATACAAAAATTGCTTGTAGTGTAAGCAATTGTGTGGCCTTTTATGAGGTCAGTAAAGTAATAAAGAGAGAAGAGGAAGAGTAACCCTCCCCAGCACTCTCCTAAATGCAGAAAAAACATGCTCTTCAGCATAAGTATTACAAGCCTGTAATAGATACATTTTACCCTAGTATTTAGGAGAAATACAGGAGCAAATGAGAATATGTTGTTTATGTCCTGGACATTGACACTGGCAGCCTTTTCTAGCTAATTCCATTCTATTTAGCAATGAATAGCATCATTGCCACTTCAGTTGTCTGTGCCATCTGTGCTGGGTGACATAATCTGTTTCCAGTAGAAAGTCAGGAAATTAACAACATAAAACCAAAAGAAGCACTAGGCAATGCAACAAGATCTGCTAAGTATTTGTCAAATTTTATTAGGCAGTCAAGCCCAACAAAACCAAGTAACCTGTTCATAAATATGAATCTGGAATGTAAGATGTGTTATTAATATTGTGAATGATAGGAACAGTTCTGTGAAATCAGAGCATTGGTGCCTCTGATCCAACATCCCATTTCCAACAGTGGAAGCCCACAATAGGACAGGAAGACAAAGATTCTGCTCTGTTTCCCCCAACAACCGCTTTGCAGAGACATCTGGAAGTACTGCTTTAAATATGATGCGTGAAAAACATGAAAATACTTACCAGACCATATAGCATTTCATACAAAACAGCACCAAGGCACCACCAGTCTACTGTGTTGTCATAGGGTTGCTTTCTGATCACCTCTGGGGCCAGGTACTATAGAGGAAAAGAAGTTTGACTACTTACTCAGAGAGACAGCTCCTCTTCCCAAATGAAATATTGCATGAGAGAGTATTGTTACCCTGACGAAGGCAGCTCAAAAATGTCTTGATTATAATCTCGTAATATTTGAAATAACTAATAGCAGCACTGAAACACATTTCTGTGCACTCATTGCCTTAGCTGTTCTGTTCTAACGAAAAGATTCTGTAAGCTCTCTAGAAAGCTTGGTCCACTGTTAAAGAATCCTTATAGTCAGGTCTGTGCAGAGATTGTCTGAGGCCCAGAATGGGAGTCTTGTTAGAATAAAGTTATAAACACAAACAAAAAGGCAGCCAGTGCCAGCTTAGCCTTCTGAGGCACAGGATATGTGTACCTGGCTGTCCCCAGTCTCTGCATGGGCCTGATTATAGTTAACTATAAATTTGAGAACTGGTGTCCAAATGTACTTTCCCCCCTTCTTCCCTTTGTGTTGCATCTTTTAGGTTGTAAGCCTGAGGGAAGGGACCCTCCTTTTAAAAAATGATCTGAAAGACTTTTTGGCTGAAGAGTGGGATACCAATGCATTAAATAAATAATAAAATAGCATTCCCCCCCCCCAATGTTTAGCCAGTGTTCATTTTCTTACAATGTATACTTAAAATATTGTTTCCAAGTCTGTCACTACAAGGCCCATATATGCACTAACATTTTCCCCACTAAGAAAACATAGCAGCTGAAATGATTTTGCCCTTGTGACAAAGCCTATGAGTTTGCTTTTTCAGTAAAAAGAGCACCAGCACAGCATTGGTACAGACCCACTGATTCAAACACTTCCTCCCCACCACAGCAAGGTTTTGCAAAATCCACTGCAAAATATTTTCTTAAATCATGCAAAGAAATTTACATACCTCTGGTGTACCACAAAATGTTGATGTAGTTTCTGAAGTTGCAATTCCTTCTTTACAAAGCCCAAAATCTGTTAAAACAACATGCCCCTGCATTGAAAACAAACATTTCACTGTAAAATAATGCAGGTTGTTAGAGATCATATTAAAAATAAAACCTGGGGCAACAGGAAAATATATTTAATGCCTACCAGTGAATCTAGAAGGATATTCTCTGGCTTCAAATCCCTGGTCAAACACACAAAAAGAAGCAGATAGTTCAGAATAGGATTGTAAGTAGCACGTTTAGCAAATAATACCCACTCTCTTACATAAGCTTTTAAAAAGAAATCAGGCCTCTGTGGAAACCATGCTTTGTGAGCATGAGAAACAAATGCACATACAATAATACAAAATGCTGGCATTCAGCTTTGTGGTCATTTAGACTACAGCTAAATGTTGTAAATTATTACCTGTAATTCTTATAAATTATTACCTGTATACAATATTTATGGAGTGTAGGTAGCCCAATGCACTGGCTATTTCAGCAGCATAAAACCTGGCTCTGTGTTCAGGAAAGGAGCGCTCTTTTTGCAGATGAAAGAAGAGCTGCAAATATGCAGAGTGCAAGTTAAAAGAATGCAGCATTAAAAACAAAATAGATGGTGTCATTCTTAATGATAGATTAGCAGAACTGGCGATTTCCCTATGAACAACTATAAAAACAGTGAAAACAGATTCTCTATGTGCATAATCATTCACATCCTTCACATCCTTCCTTTAATCATTTCCTTATTTTGTCACATCTGTAGACCCAGCATACTTGGGCCACAGCTGGTAAATGAGGTAGATTTATGTTTAGATGTGGGGCTAATATAAACTGCTACTGTGATGGCGTAAGCTGGTTGTTCCATATGCTGAGAATCAACACCATATTTCCAGCAGACTTGCTGCAGAATCTAAGTGATGCAACAATATAACCATCTTGAATTAAGTTGACTCAGTTCATTATTGCAGCTTCTAAGTGAGTCTAAACTAGCGGTTCTGTCGATTTCAATGGGCACCACATTGCCACAATACAAAGACCCAAAAATATACCTACCTCCCCTCCATTAACAAAATCCAGAACAAAGTAAAGCTTCTCTGTAGTTTGGAATGAATATTGCAATCCAACTAAAAATGGATGCTTCACATTTTTCAACAGCACATTACGTTCAGCCATAATATGTTTTTGCTGCAAGGAAGTGAAAGGTCAATAAGTAAATAGGAACAATTTGGTAATTGGGAGGGGAAAATAAAATATCTATTTCCTCTCACCTCTTTCCTGTTGAGAATAATCTTTTTTTGCAGCACTTTAACGGCATAGAACTTCCCATCCAGTTTTCGTTTTGCAAGAAGAACCTGAAGAAGAATTTGCATATAGTGTGAAAGTCTGTTCTTGCACTAAAGTGTTAAAAGTAAAGGAACACCACTAAATTTCAACTTCTTAGCTTTTCACAAATACACAGAGGGTGCAGCCTTTATCAAGACTATCTGTCCCTGTAGTAATAATAATATAATAATAATAATAATAATAATAATAATAATATTTATTTATATCCCGCCCTCCCTAGCCAAAGCCGGGCTGAGAGCGGCTAACAACAGTAAAAATAACACAGTTTACATAAAATCACAATCAATTAATTGAAATACATTCTAAAATCAATTCATTCTAAAATGTAGACCACTATTGCTACTCTTTCTGGCAGCAGCCGCCCAGGACCTAAGGCAGAGGTTTCTCTCTAACCTGCCAGCTATTCCTTTTTCCACTGGAGATGTAAAGGATTGAAGATATAACTCCCTGTATGCAATACATGTGCTATAATCCCTCACCTCATGCCATCAGCAAAAGTGGACTTCTCCACAAAAGCAGCTCAGGTGGAAAAGTATGACAAAAGAATACGTAAAATAATTAAAATTAGGCCTACCTTGCCAAAGCTGCCCTTCCCAATAACTCTCAGGAAGTCAAAGTCTGTTGGTTTAGCACTGGAAGGGATTGAGGAAAAAGAGGGTTACTTAGAGTAGTCAAGATGGTAAGACAGTAGCCATGGTTTTATTTAGCAGTCCAATGACAGACATGGCACACATTCCAACCATTGTTATTTCTCTTCCAAGTGACCATCCCTTCTATATTATCTGTACTCTCGTCCACAATTCCCATTTAGCCATCAGGCATCTACTCCTTTGCAGCCTCTCTGAGCAACAACCAATCCACATAGCATTTCCTGCTTTTATTCATCACTGTCCTCCACATTTGGTTTTGCTTGCTTGTTTTTGCTCAATATTTATTTCACCAGATTCCCAGAACTTTGTCATTACCACTTTAGTTTGCACTAAACTCACAAGAAATATTCTCTTGGTACTGATTTGAGGAGAAGGAACTTCTTCTAAAACTTCTCAAAAGGGCAAATGGAGCTGCTTGAATTTTTTCATGGTTAACAAACTCAGTCTAACGTTTGGTTTATATTTAACTAGAAACCTACTGAGGATTTCCAGATGGCCCCAGGTTGATATTCTGTGAGGTAGAGTTTAGCTGTTGAAAGAAAGAGGACACAAAAGAATAATAAGAGTCATATCAAGGTTTTAATTATTTTTATTTGCTAGAAAGAACATTTATTCCTACATTCTCAAGAGCAGACCTATCAATCTCAATAGATCTACCCTTACTAAGTATGACTAGTTACAGATAGGTAGCCGTGTTGGTCTGCCATAGTCAAAACAAAAAAAATTCCCTTCCAGTAGCACTTAAAGACCAACTAAGTTAGTTCTTGGTATGAGCTTTTGTGTGCATGGTATCTGAAGAAGTGTGCATGCACACGAAAGCTCATACCAAGAACTAACTTAGTTGGTCTTTAAGGTGCTACTGGAAGGAATTTTTTTGTTTTAAGTATGACTAATGATTCTATAAGATCAGACAGCACTTTGTACACCAAGCACTGAATAATAGATGAACAAAATATGTATACAAGGCTTTAAAGTAAGTAGTGAGAGAGTTGGCCTTGAGTATTTCCTTAGAACTAGGATAATCTCAGAGCAGTTTTGATGATAAGCAAGCAGCATCTGCTGTTATGTTTACTATTTTAACATCCTAGATGTGCTTGTAACTTGGCTGTTGGAAGACCAAAGGATCCAAACCAATATTATAAATATAATAGTCATAATCTTTACTGGAACACAGGATGCATGGCAATAAAATAGGCAGAAGAATAGAAAGTAGTCCAAGATTCAAATAGTGGAATTACCGTTTATGAAATATCATGTGGACTTACAATTCTAATTATGGATGAGGAGATACAAGCAGTGCTTTACTTTCCATTACACTGTACAACAAGAATCCACACTTTCTAGGAAGGAACCCAGAAGTTTTAATTACCTTTTGACTGTTCCTTTCATCTTCATCTTCAGATGGATCAAAATGGTGCTTTGGATTGTTCATCTGAAGAAATGCTTGGACATCTGGGCTAAAGAAAGGGGTGGAGATTAAATCCATCCATTATAAATAATAGTACATTTATACTTTTTCAATGTGAGCAGAGGAAGCTTCTCTATTTCACTACTTTCAGAAAGAAACATTACCAAATTTCTATTTTATCTGCACATAAACATAAATAAAACAGGAGCAGAAACTATAATGACTACGTAAGACGGAAACTGAATCAAATCAGGGAGTTAATCTAACTGCATTATTCCCTGTTTTTATTCAATTTCCATGTTACAATTTTAGAGTTTGTTAATTAGAACCAAATTTCCACTTCCACTTCTAGAGTGTATACTAATTGGATAACTTGTGAACACCACCTGGAATAAGCCATTTCCTTTCTAACACCTTCAGCATTACTGTCATTTTCTGTTTCTAATTTGCTAATTTAATTAAAACTAAACTTAAACTAGCACAGAGAAAACTGCACACAACCAAATGCAAAGCAACAGAAACTCCAGCAGCAAAAGCTAGTGCCACGGTCAATGAACTCTGCTAAAAGCCTTCTTAAAAAAGGAAAGAAAAAGCTTTTTGTTAACAAGCTACAGGGAAGTCACCCAGGAAGTTGCCAAACTTGCCTCAGCTGGCTTATGTCCTACCATGGAATAGGTACTGCTCTGTATTCGTACAATTCAGGCATAGGCAAACTCGGCCCTCCAGATGTTTTGGGACTACAACTCCCATCATGCCTAGCTAAGAGGACCAGTGGTCAGGGATAATGGGAGTTGTAGTCCCAAAACATCTGGAGGGCCGAGTTTGCCTATGCCTGTACAATTCTTATATCCCTTGTGGATAGGTATAATAACAATGCCTCCCCCTTTAATCAGGGAACATGAGGAGGTACATTTGGAAAGAGCCACTCCTGGAGAGATACAGGCCTCTGACCTTGAAGGTTTTAAAGGCTGCTGTCAGCACCTTCAGTTGGACCTGGAAACTAAAAGAAACCCACATGGCTGAGCCAGAACTGGAACAACATGCTCCCTGTGACCCTTATTTCTCAAGAGAAGCTCAGCATGCTGCAGTAGCTGAGGCTTCCGAACAGTCTCCAAAAGACAGCTCAGTGTAGAGCACTGTGCAATAGCCAATTCAAGAGTGCATCAAGTTTAAATGGCCCAGGGAGGATTACAAATCAGGGAACAAGAGTGGGTGGTTTCAAATCTTTAAAGTATGTTGTCCACATCCTTGGACAACAAGAGTTTAAAATACCTATCAGGTGTGGATCAGCAGATAATTCAGATACTGCTCTCAGACTTCACCAATAACAAAATTTGTGTGGGTGGATGCAAGAGATTTTATCTGATAAAATGTTTAAGAGATAGATTTATTTTAACATGAAAGCTCAATTGGCAACATTTGGGCTTTTTTACCACCTTAGCACAGAATTAAAATGGAGCTTTAAACTTCACCCAAGTTTTCTTCCCATCTCTCCAGCAGCCTCATATTACAGAGCTCTGGATTAAAACGAGGAACACACCCAAGACCACTGTCTGATAAGGTAATGTCTAAATTCCATTGCATCATGAGCCAGACCACATTTGTCAATTTCATTAAGCCACCAGGCTGGTGACAGGAAGGCTGGCATCAACAGGCAAATTCCTCAGAAAGTTCTGGAATCAGTCTCTGAAGATGAACCAGTCAGAGAAGCTCAAATTTTGTACCCTCATTAATCTTATTGAAGCACTTCAGGAACATCTAACTCTGCACAGTGACATGTGGCTAAGAAAAACAGTATGTCCGGGCTTCTTTTCAGATTCTTTAAGGTACTAACATGTTTTGCCAACTAGTGAAACTGCACAGTCTAGAAACCTCTGTTTCTTCTATTTAGATAAAGTGTAACTTCAAAGTATTATTGAGGCTTGAATGATGATCATCAAAGGCATGCACAATATTTAATTATAATTTTATATTTATGAAATTAACAGCTTTGAGAACTTTCCTTTGGAATGGAAAGGTAGGATTTTTAAAAAATCTCATAATAAGTCTTATTTAGGGAAGTCAATGACTGATGAACATTAGACCTTCCTTCCTGGAGCAAACCAGTCCATCTAGTTGAGCATTCTGTCTAATAACAGTCAGCCACATGCCCCTGAAATACTCTCAAGGAAGACCTTGTGGTGATTAGCCTTTCCTTTTTGCATGTGTAGCATCTGATAGTCACAGGTGCAATTTTTTTTATAAAAACTGCTTATAGTGGAGTACTTAGAACCAATTTGTAAATAGCTTCCTTATACGGTTGATAACATACCCTTATTTCTAGGAAAATATATATGTGTGTGTTAACTTACTGATTGCAAAGTTCTGGCTGTCGTACTAAATTCTGAATGAATTCATTCAACCCTGCTCTTCTCTGCTTAATGAAATCTGAAAGAAAATTAGGAAGGACCATACATTAGATTTTTTTTTTTAATTGAAGTTTACACTTTTTTTCAGATTACTTCACTGTTAATCAGTTCCATAATGTAAAGACAAAGGCCCACATGCTCCTGTTATCCTGACTGTACACTCTAAGGGTCAATGGGTTGGTGAAACTAACTAGACCAGATTGCAAGAAGCTTCTGGTCTTCAGACAAGAGAATTTCTAGGGACCACAGCAATTGCCCAACTCTCAAGTCTACCCAGATACTGCACTGGGTGGGCACAGCTGGGTGATGCCAACTGTACCCTGTTCACCCAAGTCTTAGTGATACAGACCAGATTGGCCTGCTCATCCACAATCAGATCATGGATGAGGGAGGTCTTATTCAGAGTTGACCTGGCATTCAGCAGCAGCAGTCTCAAAGGCTGACTTCTACGACAACTGCAATTCCCCAGTTGGAGGAGGGTCTGGCACTTGGCACTAAGTGCCTGTGCTGTGTGCCCCTTACTTGGCCTGCTCCACCTCCCACAACATACTTCTCCCTACCCTGTAGATACTTGCTTCGTTACCCGTTTATTATCCTATCATCCAATCTTTACAAAATTTAACAAAGAAAGAAATCTGGTGCAACATGTATGGATATAATATATGCAGTAGAAAGGACATGTTGAATGAATCAAGGTTGACAGCTGAGTTTGAGAAGATATAACAGAAACTTTATTTGCATTTAAGTAAGCATAAATTGGTCTGGTTGTTTACAGAATTGCTAAAATGGAAAGTAATTTACATCCCTTATATTTTATTAGCATTATACATTCCGCAATGGACCAGAATATACCACTTACAATATAACAAATGAATGTGGTGATGTGCATGAAACCTGCTGCATTAAGCACTATCATGGTTTTTTAAATAAAAACAACAATAACCCCTGATCCTTAATGCGCTTGAGTTGGCAGAATTCCACTGATTAACAAAGTCTTGCTTTCAACCTGTTTCAAAAGTCTTAAGCTATAAATAGAATGAAGTCAGCACTGAACCAAGATTTTCAAGGCATCTAATCACAGATTTGTGCAGAGAGACTAAAAGGTCAAACCAGCTCTTTGCTTGGTAAGGGTTTGTGCCACATGTCAGTCCACATAGAATCAACATAAAATGTGCCCCAAGAGGAGGGTCATAAACAAACACTATGCGCTACAAGTATGTGGTACCAGCAGATCAGATGGCTCAAAAGCTAAGAACTCTAATACCCAGTCATACTGTATTACTATTAAAAATAACTTTAAACAGACACTATGTTAGAGTTTATTGGAATTATAAACACAAATAGCATTTCTTACTTTGCAGCAGTACTTTAGAATATAGACATAACACCTTCATCCACAAGCCATACAATGATGCAACTAATCCTGCATGCCAAAAATACCTTGTTCCGTTCTCCCCCAAGCCCCAGAACTCTAGCCTGATCCTGTGCTGAGTGAAAAGCTGCTTTTAATTCTCAGGGGAGTTTCAAAAGGGGGGCGGGGGGGTCACATCTAAAAGACCTGTCGAGATTGTGCTTGTTATTTTGCTTACATACCATCTGTATGTGGACGTTCAGGAGATGCAACCCATAATGCCATACATTCACCATCGCCTGCATCATACAATTCTACATAAAATCCAAATGTCGCATGTGCAATGTTGTACTTGTAGCTTGAGGATTTTTAAACCCCTGTGGTCCTCCATTATTTACCCATCCCTTTTCTTGCAAGTGTATTTTCAGGTCTACAAGCAGATGTATGACGTTGATTGCAAGGTAAATCAGCTTAATGTTTTCCTCTACTGTACAGACAAAATGTTTTCAAGGAAAGAAAATCAGACACTGCACTCTGGCAATCAACTACTCTGAATTAATACTCTGTGGATTTTGAAAGACAGAGAACACACATTCACCAATCAATGCACGTCAGTTACACCGTGTGAAAATTACTGGCAAGTTGTAGTTAATAGGCAAGGATTTCCCATAAAGGCAAAAAGCAACCAAAAAAGTCCACCGACTTTTGGCCTATGGTATCTAACTCCAACCATTTAGTAGGCTTTAAAAATAGCTTCTGCAGACCCTTTTTTTTAAAAAGAGCAATAAAAGAAGAAAAGAACTTATGTGACTTACCTGGATCAAAATTGTCTCCAAATATTCTTTTAGCAGGAATTTTCAAGTTCATGGTGGGAAATTGTTTCCTTAGCTGAAATACACAAAACACACAGGTAGTTTAACTTTGGAGTATAGATACCTTCCAGACACAGTTGTATTGGCAGAGGGTCATTCCTTGATTCAATTTTAGCACGACTCCCTTTACTTACTGTATTATACAGTTTATCAAACTCAGCGTATCGCCTGAAGACGAACCATTCATTATTGCCAACTGAGACCAAAACTTTGTAAACCTGTAGGGATACAAAAGTAAAATTAGTGAGAAATGCAAAGATTAAAATAACACAGTTGTGAGCTAATGAACCTGTGTACGTTTGTTGCTCGTTTACCTATTAAATCTTTGAGCCTGAGTTTTATACATAATTACAGGATGAGACTGAAAGCACACTGCATTCTCCAATACAGGGCTGCTGAACACATTAGGATTTTTCAACATGAAGATACCAAGAGCGTCAGTGCAGAACACCCAAAACAGAGGCTCCAAGTAAATGCCACAGCAATAAGAGCTTATTGTTAAAATTGCATATATAGAACAGCATGTTTCAGCATTGCTATCTCCTGTTAAGTATCTTGGATCCCTGGACCCGTGAGAAAAACATGACTTATGGAATGGGATTTTCCTTTCTCCTTCTTCCCACGGTGCTCATCAAAAAGTCAGTCTTGAATGCTGGGGAATCATTAGAGAGGTGTGGAGGCTGCAGAAGGGTGGGAGAGTCAGCAAAGGTTTTGGCCTCTCTTGTACAAATGGATATGCCTTTTCACTTGTGCTAGATACTTTTTGATCTACGCCAGTAAAAACAGACTTTTACAATATTTCCAGGGCCTAACATCCAGGGAAACAAAATGTTTCTAGGGGTAGCTTTTAAATTAAACTTTAATGAAAGTGAAAAGTTGCAGATATGAACTATAGAGTTGTGTTAGATTTATCCTGAAAAGGTTGAAAATGTACAGTAGTTAAGCAATTGCTTCAAAAGAATGTAGTGCAAGAACAGTAACCTTCCATAATAACTGAACTGTGCATGATTAGAGAACATATTCTCTAGAAATTAGAACAGCCACTATTTATAGTGGGCAGGACTAGATGCTGCAAAGCTGTACATGTTATATTAAATGTATGGTTTGCAAATTTACAACGGAGACTCTTGATTCAAACGAAACATTAATTTGCACATAGCTTTGCTAGGTACATTTTTAAAGGCAAATTCTACTTTGTATGGTCATCTATTCTTAGCTACTTGCAAATCAAGAAAAAAAAATCATAGTAGTATACATATTCAGTACGTATACATGGCAAAAGGACACCAGGGGAAACATCTAACCAATAATCAATGGCAATTTATTTTCACATCCATTCTGGCTATTTCTGCCAGTATAAGCATAACAAAAAACCATGGTAAATGGAATAGTACTATTATTGCTATCACTATTAACCCAGTGGTATTTAACATTAAACAATATACAATAGATTCACTGTTTGGATTACTCAAACTGCTGAAAAAGAAGGATGGGAGAAAATTGGATTTTTTAAAACACAAATGATGGAAATGTTTACAGATTAAGAAACTCTGGATAAGCATTTCTGGATGTGAACTCGAACTGCATTATGAAGTAATCAGGTTAAGATGTATAAATTATAGTGCAGATTAAGAACTGGAGTAGCTGGTAATGTGTTACTAATGGCATATTGATTGCTGTCAAGTGGAAACTCCCAACCATTCCAACTATAATGAAGTAGCTTAACAAGGTTTGTCACACAAAGCTAAACTAGAAAGAGTTTGATGTATAGTATGTGCAATTATAAAAATCGTTTTTGTTGTCTCACACCATCTATTTGCTAGGAACTGTCAGCCTTTCTCAACCTTGGGTCCCCAGATGTTTTTGGCCTACAACTCCCATCATCCCTGACCACTGGTCCTGTGAGCTAGGGATCATGGGAGTTGTAGGCCAGAAACATCTGGGGACACAAGGTTGAGAATGGCTGGTCTCCATCATAATTTAAGTTTTTATATGAGTTGCCACACAATGATCATACAGCAAAGTAAAAATATAAGTATGCAAATGAGAAAAACAGGTTGAATGTGTTGATTATTTGGGTTTTTGTTTTCAGTAAAAAGTAACATAACACATATTGCTAATCTAGGTTTCTTAAATCAGGTGACAGCCCAACCTCTTAAGATATTATCCCAAAAAAATTATTTATTTCTAGTAACATTCAGGAAGTGCAGCTCATTAATTCCACAGCAGAACCAGCATGCCCTCTGGTTCTCAAAGAATTATGAAAAAAAACACACAAAAAACTATTAAATCCTGAGTTTGCACTTACTTTGGAATTCAAGAAACCAATTTAGAAGGCCATAATGTATGTTATGTGAACTCAGATCTCCCAATGGATTTATTTACCCCCTCACTTTAATATGGCCACAGGAGCTCTAGTTTTTGTCTATTTGTTTCTAAATTCATTGTGTGCTTTTGGTTTGTAGTTGATGTTTTTAAGAACATTTTCAAATACAAATATAATAACTCAACAATTAACAAAATATCCTTTCTTGTTTGCATGCTGTAAGTAAATGTAAATAATGTTTTTGTCCTCATTTCTTTACCTACTATCAAGAAGACATTCACTCTTAATTGGTCAATCCATATGACACTATATCACTTAATCCATATGACGCAGAGGACTCACAGTTCATTTCCAAATTTAAAATATAGTTTAGCCTTTCCAACCTTCTTATCTATTTATGTTATACCGTAAATGGGAAACACTTTTCCTTCAGCGGTCCTGAAGGAGACATCTTGACCCTAATCCTTTTCAGTTTTCCCCAAATTAATTACCCCTCCATGGGACGCGGGTGGCGCTGTGGTCTAAACCACAGAGCCTAGGACTTGCCTATCAGAAGGTTGGCAGTTCGAATCCCCGCAACGGGGTGAGCTCCTGTTGCTCTGTCCCAGCTCCTATCAACCTAGTAGTTAGAAAGCACGTCAAAGTGCAAGTTGATAAATAGGTACCGCTCCGGCAGAAAGGTAAATGACATTTCTGTGCGCTGCTCTGGTTCACCAGAAGCGGCTTAGTTATGCTGGCCACATGACCCATAAGCTGTCTGCGGACAAACGCCAGCTCCCTCGGCCAGTAAAGCAAGATAAGTGCCGCAACCCCAGAGTCGTCTGCGACTGGCCTTAACAGTCAGGGGTCCCTTTACATTTACCTTTAATTATCCCTCCAGGCAGCAAAACAACCTGCAGTGGGAGAAAAGGGTGTACCTGTCATGCTTTGTTTTTTCTACTCTATTCTAAGAGCAGCTTGTGGGAGGGGTTAATTAGGAATGGTGTAGGACGAAAGTATTAAATATCTCCTCTTTCACTGCTCCACTCAAGATTCTCCTTTTCACACCTATTACAATCCTGACGCTTCCTGTTAGGCCCGTTTTGATATAACAAGGTCCATTTTTAAGTTCCATTTTGATCTAATAAGACTTCTGCTTTGGCTACATAAAGGAACAGTATTTTCCTTCGGAGGTAAGGAGAGACGGCTACAATATATTTGCATTATACTGATGGAAGGGATGCCAGAGAGGGTAGGAAAAGTGTTATGATGGTCAACATCATTCAGCTGCAGAGGAAACTGCTCAGCAAAACAAAATTAGACCATGTTTTTGAAAGAAGTACTAGGTTGTCGTCGTTACAATCCAGCAGATTTCCAAAACCTACTGAAGAAGAATACCATTGAAATATTGTTTAGTCCAATAACAAAATACAGAAGGTTGTCCAATGCCAAAATTACACACAGAATAAAAATACAAATCACATCCAGAGACGCTACCGGGATGGGGTGGGGAGAAAGAACAGGAAACAATGAAAGGGAAACAGAAGCAAAAGGCACCAAGACTAACAAAGAGGGGAAATAGTGTAATTTAATGTGTTTGTATTCAATGGGGTTTTTTAAATAAATAAAAAAGATCCACTGTCTATGCTGTTGCTTTCTGCTTTTTATAATGCTGATCAACAACTTACATAAATTTGATCTGCTATGCAGTTCAGATGTTTAAAAGCCTTTAACAACATAACTGTTACAATATCCTTATGCTGCACATTTTTATGTGTACTAAATTCTACAGTATGCATAAAATCAGAGTTAACACATTAACCTTCACACATTTGCATATATGCTAATAGGCATGATTTGGAAACAACACTAAACATATTTTGTTTTAAGGGATCAATCAACATCAGGCTTGCTTCTTGTTATATCTGAACTGAGAATCCTAGTTAATCTGAACGCTGGTTTGTTGAAACAAGCCAGAATAATAAACGATGCTTTGATTCTGGCTTGTTTAAATAAACTACCGTTTAAACCAGGCATAGGCAAACTCGGCCCTCCAGATGTTTTGAGACTATGATTCCCATCACCCCTGACCACTGGTACTGTTAGCTAGGGATGATGGGAGTTGTAGTCCCAAAACATCTGGACGGCTGAGTTTGCCTATGCCTGGTTTAAGCTAACCACAGTATTTGGATGTGTAAACAGGGAGCACATACTTCCAATCTCTTCCTCATGCAGGAAGGGAGGGCAAACCATGTCAGCCCAAGGCTTGCTCACATAGTGCTACATAATGGTTTAACGTTACATCCAAACCATGCCATTAATTGAATATGAAATGGAGTACAAGAATAAGCCCCTATTGACTGAGAAAAGTGCTTTATGCTCACATACTTACAGTAAATCTTTTTTTCTTCACTCTGTGTTCATCAGAGCTGGGGATGCTAACACTTGGGCAGCTCTCCTTGACATCCATTATATGTTGTCTTTAGGCAAAAATTCAAGACCACCACACCAGGTATAGCCAAATGTAGAAAATGTCAGCAGTATTGATCTAAAACATGCAGCCTCTCTTGTGTAAATTTAAATTCCATCATGCAAACCTTAAATAAAACGAAACAAAAAGTTCAGCAGGTGACTGATTTGAATCATGGCTGCAAACTGAATTTTAATGATTTTCTAAATAAAGGTTATCTTTCCATGTTTGTATAAAGTGAAGATGATACAAGTGAGATGTCCTGGGAACTGGAGGGCAGTCAAGTGTCAAGAATAATAGCAGCGTGGCTATAGTAAGGCTTGGTGGTTGTATATGCAGACATAAGAAATGTACCAGTTGTGTTAGGATCTTTTGACTCCAAAATACCACCATCACTAAAACATGGTTGGTAAATAACAAAATACTACTGTAACTTATTTATGTAACATATATGATATATTCATAGAGCTTTTCATGCATTTTCTTATTAATCCTTACAGGAGGAATATAACATAGATTAGTATTATTATTACATTACAGGTAGGGGCATAGAAATAAAGGTTTGCCTAAAGCCACATGGTTAGTCTGTGGCCAAGATGAGATAGGAACTTCCTTACTGAAACTTGCAGGCAGGCATTTGTTTATGTATGCTTGTTTACTCAAAACTAGATCCCTACCTGTGATGGGAATTGGTAAGAGGATACATTCATTATATTTACTCTTCTAGAGACCTACGTGTGTGGGTTAACAAACAAAAGAAAAAGTGGCTGGTGGTGCCTATTTTTAAAACCACGGGGCTAGCACACAGAGAGCCCCAGTAGCAGAGTATTGAATCCCATTGTTTGACAGATTAATGAAGCATAGGAATAGGCTATTAAACATTTAAATATATTCAGCTGCAAGAAGCAGCTGACTCCCCCACCCTCATGCACTGAAACAGACCACACTCTGAAGTAAGTTTAAATATGCTTTACTTACTTAATTGTGGTCACAGTCATGCATTTTCCTTTATGCAACAGCAGGTAAAATACTTCGCTGAAATACAGCTAGACTTGACTGCTAAAATCTCCCACAACCTACTCATATAATACTTCATTGGCCCTTATGGGAAGAAGGGCAGGATATAAATTCAATAAATTTGTACATGTGTACAAAAGGTGGTATCAACACATTAAGGCAGGGAGTGCAATTCTGCTCCTCTTCTCTGCATTTTGACAGTGTGCAAATGACTCTTATCTCCAGTGAGTTTCTCTAGAGGCAGCAGTTTGAAGTTCTTGCTTTTGTGCTCTGACCATTTTGCTTAATTTATCCCCAATAAATTTCTCTTCCTTTCTTTTCTTTCTTCTTTCTTTCTTTCTTTCTTTCTTTCTTTCTTTCTTTCTTTCTTAAATAGCCTTATATATTTGTAATAGAAAGGTAATTCTGAAGAACAGGAATATTCCTATCACCATCCAAAAGTGGTGGTTCAATACCTAAAATGTGTTTTGTTATTAATCTAAAGTGGGTGAATTATCTGTTTAACTTGTGCCACTATAACAGGAAGCTTATTAAGACCTACTCTGTACACTAAGGCATTTAAAGAAGTATGACCAAACAGATCAAGGCAGGGCTATACTAGGTCAAATTTAAATGATTATATGCAGGCATCTAGAGCAACAACACAGATACAAAAATATGCAGAAAACTGTGTTGCTCCATTAGGAAAACAAAAAACAGTCAGACAGCCACAATCACAAAATAATGTTACATCAGGACAAACTAAAATAATGGTTCTTTCAGAGTTTAACAGAATTGTTCTCCAGGCTTTATCTTAAAAAGTTGAGGAATGTAAACACATGTTGGTAGAAGCTCCATCTGCAACATTTAAGAAAGTGATTGAAGAAGTTATAGGGCAAGTTGTGTCTAGGACTAAAGATCCCAGATTTCAACAAGGGAAACTGGAGCAAAGTATCAATGGCTACCTCTCTCTTTCAAAAACCAGTAGTTATTGCAATCTTTCTCTAGCATTAAAAAAAAAAAAAGCACTTATGGTCCCTTGTTAGGCACAGAGAACATGATTGTTATTATATTAGTAAAGCTGATACTGTTTCATGTTGTCAACATATAATACCCAGTCTAAATAATATACACCTACAATAGTTCCCATCTTAAAATAGAAGTCTATGTTTCAATTGTATGTGCTCTCCCATTTTTCCACAAAGCCACTGTGATGTAATTCTCCTGTTAGGGAGACACCCATGTTTGTGTTGGCTGAAGTGACAAAGCACTTCAAAATTCAGTTATGAGGCTTGTTTTAAACATCCTACTAAAATATAGATTATGATGAGCCAGTTTAGTTTTCTGCTCAGAATTATGTTGCTTATGAGAAATTCAAGGTTATAAAATAGGGTTGTTTGGACTTAGCAGGCACTGACAGAAAGCAATACATTATCAAGAGCAACGAAAAAATATTTTCTATTGATCTACAGTGGCTTACTAGAAAATTGAGAGCATGATCAAGGCAAATGTAAATCAATCAAATGTAGACCAGTCTCACTAATTTAAGAGTTAAAACATGTGATTAAATTGCTTGTATTAAAACACACACACACAATGGAAAATTGCATAAATACAGCTAGATTGTGTCCTATTTTTCTGTCAGAATTATTTTGTGCAACTAAGCTAACTCATATTTGCTCAAGTACTGCCATTCTGGTGTATTAATTGGTTAATTTTTAGAGCAAGCCATTTAAAATAAAAAAAACCTTTAAACAATATTACTTAAATAAAACAAAATAAAAATAAAAATTACTTAAAATAAAACTTTGCAGTTAAATACAACATACTTCAATCCATTTGAATAACTTTAATAGGTATTTCTAAGACAAGCAGACTATCAGGCCCACATTCATGTACACACTGTGAATAAGTGTCCCACATTTCTGTGCAGACACGCTTGTCTTTTAAACCATTTTTGTAGCGGGAGGGGGAAATGCAAGCAATTGTTTTCAGCAAATATGAAAACAGCCACAAGAAACAGTATGGAATTCTGGACAGAGGATGTTGGACTTTTAAGACCTGTCTTCAGAACAGGCATCCCTAGGTGGCAAGACCGCTCCCCTTCCCAGGGACGGAGGCGTAGTGATGCCGCCTGCGTCATGGGGATTCCCGGCTGTGTCATGCTCCATGGCTGACCAATCAGGTCGACCTGGGGGCATGGCTCACCTGGATTTAAACCTCTGCGTGGCTGGGCTCGGTCTCCTTTGTCTACTGCGCTGGATCTCCCCCCACCCCCACCCTAATTTTATGCGCTCTCCATCTTGGCCTTGCTATGGACTACGGTTGGTCACCTGTTTGTGGGGGCCAGGTAGGAATTTTCCCACTTGGCAAACTGGCACCAGCCATGTGGTTTTCGCCTGCCTTGTAGCAATTGTCACAACTTTGTAAGGTTTGGTGGTTAGAGATTTGTAAACATGGTTTGTGGGAGGGGAGGTTGTAGCCTTCAGCTGCCCCTCCTCTTGAAGGGTATTCCGTTAAAGGCATCCCGGGGTGTGGTTCCCGTCCGAAGCCTGGGTAGGGGCTACAGCCATACCACGACTCCATCGGGGACCCGGGGGGGGGCTCACAATTTATGTACATCAATAGGGCTCCCCCTACCAGTAGTTGACCCTTATGAGACTACCTGCGTGACAGGCAGGAGAGAGATATAGTCAGTTCAGTTCCAATGCCTACGCCAAAACTGCTCACATCTGTAACCAACAAAGTTGTGGCCTAATTTTTCCCATTAACACAAAACACTGGTGTCTGTGTTTCATTATAGCTAAGGAATGGGGGGCAGGCCCTCAGGACCTCGCCATGCAACAAGCAACTCACCAGCTCTCAGCTACAGTTCCTAATCTATGAAAGGAAAACTGCAACCTACACCCAAAGCTGGTTGTTAGGACAAACAAGAATATAAATAGCACCTTTAACACCTATAAAAATAATCAGCAACAATCACTTGACTTTTGTTCCCTTTATGAAGTATTTAAGACCAAGGTTCCCACTCAGAGGATAACTCTCAGTCATTTAGAGATAAGAGAGGCCATTCTAAAGATTACAGAGTTTCTTGTGGAATATGGAGAACAAAACAAAGTAATCAAGCCCAATTCATGAGATAATCTGGAAAAGATGGAAATCCATTAATAGTTGCTACTAGCTCTGAAAACAGGAAATAAGAACAGATGTATAAAGTATTGTAAACCACCTAGCATCCTGGTTTGAGCTGTTGTTTCTAGCTATCTTTTCTGCTTAAGGACATCCTTCTTTCAATTAACAGTCAGATCTTATTAATTCAGCCAAAGTTTTATTACACAAACAATCCAATAGTATTTTAAAATGCAAATATACTATGCATATTCATGTTTTCATCAAGAAATGAAGTGGAGTTCATACATAGAGCAGGAGGCTGAATTATCAGAGAAGTTTGTTAAGTATCCCCGCCCGCCCACCAAAGTGGACATTGCAGCAACATAGAGAAATAATTAGTACAGAGAGCCCAGGTGGTATACTGGTTTGAATGTTGGACTAGGACTTGGGAGACTAGTGTTCAAATTCCTATTCAGCCATGACCTTGGGCACCAGTCACTGTCTCTCAGCCTAACCTATCACACAAGGCTGTGGTGAGAATAAAATGGGAAGGGGGAAAACCATGTATGCCACCACCTTGAGCTCCTTGGAGTAAAGGTGAGAGATCTAATACATAAATGAACTAGCAGAGTGGTACACTGATAGGACCTCTCTCTCCAGCAGATATTGATTTGTGTGGGCATCATGTCCAATCCTTAGCCAAGCAGGAGAACTTCTTGCCTATTTGTCTTGATACACTTCTTCGACCATAACAAGCATGTAGGTTTTGAACTCGTTGGGGTTGGGATTTTTCTGAGCTCTTGCCATGGTGGTCCCATCACTATGGATTTGACAACGAGAATAACGCCATTAAATGGAATCTGTACACAACAAATGTCAACGTGGACCCTGCTCAGACAGCTTATTGCCTTTGTTTCCAACGAGTTGCTAAACCCAGCAAACGACTCAAAAGTCAAAAGAATAAAGTGCCTCCAACTCAGAGAAGATTAAAGAAGAACAAGTACATGTTGTACCTGAACGACTCTAGGGCATGAATTCCAGGAATTAGCATTAAGTAACAGGCTTTTCCTAGTCCAGGAATGTAATGTAATTCAAGGCTAGTGAGACAGGGGGGAAATCTGCAGTGAATACTTGCTGATTTAGAAGGGAACTTCCTTGCAAAAGCGTGGTCTGTACAGACCAATGCTGCTCCCACATATCATCTTGATTTGGTCCCATCTGTAAAAATCATAGCATAACTGTGGCATGAATGACTTTCATAAAGCATCTGCTAGAATCTCAAGGAGCATAGCAGTCTTGCAACTCTTCCCCTCCCCCATCAATAGTTTATATCAGGGGTGTCCAACAATCTACGGGTAGATCACGAGGTGTCCATGGTAGATCATTGGACCCACCCCCCAAAAGCACAAACTTTGGTAGATCACTGCCAGTTTTTTAATAGTGGGAGTAGATCTCAGTCTCTTAAAAGTTGGATATGCCTGGTTTATATAAAGGTTTTTCCATTATGTTTATTTCAACACGGGAGAAAAAGGTCATATGGAAAGTTTGGATTGTACATCTTTATAGCAAAGCACAACTGTTAACAAAAATAAACTGTAAGCAAAGTGAGATTATTTGCAGGGATCCCTTACCTTTTAGTCTCTTGGGAGCAAGGTACAAATCCAGCAATGGGTAATGTCAGAGATGAAGAGCTTGCAAACCACAGCTTTGCAAAGATCAATTCTGGCTGCAGGGCAGACCTACACACAGCAAAGATATTAAGTTAAAAGAGGCTAACCAACCAATATTACTTATTAGCTCTTTAATCAACTTTTCTCCATATTTAGTATAGCCCTATTGAAAATTTGGTAAATTGGTTATTAATTTTGATAGCACCTTCAATGAACCAAGCACAGCCAATTTCAGACTATTACTAGTTCTTAAAGAAGCCTATTCTTAAATACAGTGGTACCTCGGGTTAAGTACTTAATTCGTTCTGGAGGTCCGTTCTTAACCTGAAACTGTTCTTAACCTGAAGACCACTTTAGCTAATGGGGCCTCCTGCTGCCACCGCGCCACCAGAGCACAATTTCTGTTCTCATCCTGAAGCAAAGTTCTTAACCTGAAGCACTATTTCTGGGTTAGTAGAGTCTGTAACCTGAAGCATATGTAACCTGAGGTACCACTGTACCTTATCCTTGTTGGAATAAGCAACAGTCTTTAATTAATACTCATTGTACTGAGAGAAAAGGTCACCAAAAGGTTAATGATTCTATGCCCAGGAAGTTAAGTGTCCTTCTTGAGTTGTGAATTTAGTTTCTCTTTCGCCTTTACTCCTTGCTTATGCAGTAACCAGTAATAGCTGATTACAGTGGTACCTCGGGTTACATACGCTTCAGGAAACCCAGAAATAGTACCTCAGGTTAAGAACTTTGCTTCAGGACAGAACAGAGAACAGAAATTGTGCTCCAGCGGCACGGCAGCAGCAGGAGGCCCCATTAGCTAAAGTGGTGCTTCAGGTTAAGAACAGTTTCAGGTTAAGAACGGACCTCCGGAGCGAATAAAGTACTTAACCAGAGGTACCACTGTATAGGTTTATAGTTTATGCTTACAGCTGCACCTGCCTTCCTTGTGGTGAGTGAAAAACCTACTCTGCAACAACTATGTTTTTGTGTTCAATTAAAAGGCCTGAAATATCAAATCTGCGGGCTGGGGACAGAGAAACCTTCAGAGCATTTATAACCAAAGTAATTTATAGTCAAAGAAAATCTATTTGGAATTTTGAAACGAATAAGGGTTAACAGCTAGGCACAGCAGCACTTCAAAATTCATAGTCACATTAAGGCTATGTGCCCTGCTAGTTTTAAAGCACCTGACTGCATGAATAATACAGCAGTGGCTGAGCTGTGACACTTCTAGTGACTGAATGTAGTTCAAAGGTCTCAAAACAGCAAACAGACTGTCTTGTAAAACAGACTGTGCAAGTTCCAAAACCGCAGAAATTACTGGCGGGAACCACAACATGCTGTCAACTTGTCCTGGAGATAAATGGGTGGGAATTTATCTGGCTACATTTGCAGTCTTCAGATACCAGCTTGTCTAATTGTTACTCGCCACACAGATTTGCAAACAAAGCAAGATTTTTTTCCAGTAAATGGAAGGGAGAACTGAAAACATCACCCCACTTCAAAAACCAGGAACTGAAACCATAAAGGGATGAATACACGACTGTGAAGGAAACTCACTGGATTTTTCAAGTGTGTCAGTTTAACCTGATCATCAGTCCCATATTTCTACAACTGAAAGTTTCAGTTTTCCTTGACCATGTGTGGATGCAGGCCAGTTTCCTTTGTGCATTAAAATCCATCATCCAGCAGCAGACACATCAAAATCCCCACCCACCCCTTGCAAGCCAGCTGCTTGTCACTGTTGTTCGTGTATGTGCTGGTCTTCCTGCAGGAAGACTTGTCTCACACGGGTACTCAAACCAGGGATTAGCCAGTAACATACAGTAGTGCCCCGCAAGACGAACGCCTCGCAAGACAAAAAACTCGCTAGACGAAAGGTTTTTTCGTCCGCGATTTGCCTCGCAAGACGAATTCCCCTATGGGCTTGCTTCGCAAAACGAAGCTTGCCCCGGGGACAGCGGGTCTTCTCTTTTGAAGCAAGGGGCTGCGGGGAGATAGCGATCTCCCTGCAGCCCCTTGCTGCAAAAGACGTCGGGGGAAGCGGGGAAGCGAAGCGCTTCGCTTCCCCGCTTCCCCCGGACCTCTTCTGAAGCAAGGGGCTGGGGGGAGATAGCGATCTCCCTGCAGCCCCTTGCTGCAAAAGACGTCCGGGGGAAGCGGGGAAGCGAAGCGCTTCGCTTCCCCGCTTCCCCCGGAGCTCTTCTGAAGCAAGGGGCTGGGGGGAGATAGCGATCTCCCCCCAGCCCCTTGCTTCAGAAGAGGTCCGGGGGAAGCGGGAAGCGAAGCGCTTCGCTTCCCCGCTTCCCCCTGACGTCTTTTGCAGCTGTTCCGAAGTGGGGCGGGGGGGCGGGGTCACCTGCCCCAGCCGCCCCACTTCGGAAAGCTGTTCCGAAGCGGGGAGGGGGGGCGGGGACATCTGCCCCAGCCGCCCCACTTCGGAAAGCTGTTCCAGGAACAGCTCCATAGGAACCTCCATAGGCGCCCGTCACCTCTCCAGCCAGGAGAGCGCGCGCGGGGCTAAACCAGCCCCCCGCGACCCTCTCCCAGCTGGAGAAGTGACGCGCGCCTATGGCAGGAGCCTCCATAGGCGCCCGTCACCTCTCCAGCCGGGAGAGCGCGCGCGGGGCTAAACCAGCCCCCCGCGACCCTCTCCCAGCTGGAGAAGTGACGCGCGCCTATGGCAGGAGCCTCCATAGGCGCCCGTCACCTCTCCAGCCAGGAGAGCGCGCGCGGGGCTAAACCAGCCCCCCGCGACCCTCTCCCAGCTGGAGTTGTGACGCGCGCATATGGCAGGAACCTCCATAGGCGCCCGTCACCTCTCCAGCCGGGAGAGCGCGCGCGGGGCTAAAGAAACCATAGCCCCGCGACCCTCTCCCAGCTGGAGAAGTGACGCGTGACTATGGCAGCAGCCTCTGAAGGATGCACCGAAGCCTGGCGTGGGGGGGGGGCGGAGAGACCTTCTCCCCGCGCCAGCCTTCGGATGGCTGTCCTGAAGACTTGGGGTGGGAGAAGGGTTTTCCTTCCCACCGCCAACATTCAGAATGCTGTTCTGAATGTTGGCGGTGGGGAGGAAAACCCTCCTCCCACGCAAGCCCCGGGAACAGAGGGAAAGGCGCTGCGCGCCTTCCCCTCTGTTCCGGTACCTGTGCTGAAGGCTTGCGTGGGGAGAAAAGCCCTTCTCCGCACCGCCAGCCTGGCAAGCGGTTTCCCTAGGAACGCATTAATTGATTTTCAATGCATTCCTATGGGAAACCGTGCTTCGCAAGACGAAAAATTCGCTAGACGACAAAAATTGCGGAACGAATTAATTTCGTCTTGCGGGGCACCACTGTAGCAGGAAAGGCTATGGCATCACCATTTCAACACAAGGAAACTTTACAGTTTCCCTATGTTGCATACTTTTGTATGATTACTTAGTATAAACCTGTCCTGCCTTGCTATTGCTTCCCCCTGCACCTTTCGGTCTCCCTATGATGATTCTGCTACCTAATGCAAATATTCCTCTTTGATTGAGACGCTAATCATTAAAGAGAGACCAGGAGTGTGTGCTTGTGTGTGAGAGAGTTTTTCTTGAGGCCTCTTTATTCTAAGAGTACACGTACTTAACATGATTTGCACTTGAACAAATGGTTATTTTCTGCAACCAGGAACGTTAATGACCCTCCTGGGGAAAGAACATCACAGGAACCATGTAGTATAGGAAGCTTGTATTGTTATGTGTTTGGGGCGTTTTACAAGCTTTCCCACTTTTAAATTTAATTAATGCCTTGTTAAACTCATATAAACTTAAATAAATTCAATTTTAACTGCACCTTGGATTTATTGGCCCACCCATGCTTGCTCTGTCTAATATGCTACTAGAAAGTTGGCTCTGCCTAATTAGTGGATTCCTCTAATAAAAGGATTTTAATTAATCAATACTGACTAATTAGACAGTAGCAGCTACTTGATGGTGGGGCTCAAAGGCTGCTCAGAAAGTACCTGGATAGGTTAAGGAATAAACCTACACTGTTCACTAAAGTCTACTGGGGTAGGGAAAGGAAAATCAGAGTTACAGCAAATCCCAAAAGTAGACACCAATATTCCTCAAGCAGGACAAAATACACATTTTGTTAGTGGCAAGATCACAACTTGAATTGAAATAGCTACAGAGTGGAATGAGGAGAATCGTACATGAGCAGAAAGGAGTCTACACATTGCCTGAAAGTGTCCTACGTTTCTTTTGACGACCTTTTCTGGTTCACGGAGCAAAATAAATAATCTTCAAGGTCTAAATTATGCAAATACCTAGTACATTCTGTTGCAGAGATAAGGACTGCCGAGTTCGAGGTCAGATAACGAAGAAAGTGTCCTTGAGCATATGCAGAGCAATGTGCCACCACCGGCAAGTTGTGGGACTGTAACTCTCATCATCCATCTCCACTGACCATGCTGTCTGGGGCTGATGGGAGCTGAAGTAAAGCGACATCTGGAGGGCACCAGGTTCACTACCCCTGCTCTACTGACATCCAAGTGTTGGTGCTGACCTTTAAAGCCCTAAACTGTCTGGGCCAAGTATACCTGAAGGAGTGTCTCCACCCAGACAGTGTCTCACTTAGCCCAGACACTGAGGCCCTCCTCCGAGGGTCTTCTGCTGGTTCCCTCACTGCGATGGAACTAGGCAGAGGGCCTTCTCGGTAGTGGCACCCTCCCTTTGGAACGCCCTCCCTTCAGGTGTCAAAGAATTATACAACTTTTAGAAGACATCAGAAGGCAGCCCTGTTTCAGGAAGTTTTTTAAGTCTGATGCTTTATTATGTTTTATATATTCTGTAAGCCACCCATAGGGAAACCCAGCCAGATGGGTGGGGTATCAATAATAAAATTATTATTATTATTATTATTATTATTATTATTATTATTACTACTACTACTACTACTACTCCCCTTCATGGATCACTGCCTTGCCGTGGCGAAGGGGCTTGAATAACTCAGAGAAGCTATGAGCTATGCCGTGCAGGGCCACCCAAGATGGACAGGTCATAGTGGAGAGTTTTGACCAAACATGATCCACCTGGAGCAGGAACTGGCAAG